TAACTTGGCTCTATTCTCTTTAAGTTTATTCAATACTTCTTGTTTTAAACTTCATTTATATTCATAATTTAATCTCTTGATTCCAGTTTCTAATTCTAATTGGGTTTTTTTTTTAAGTCTGTCTGTCTCTAACTTTAATCCTATGTGTTGGGAGCTGGAGTAGTACCATCTTTCTCCAGCAGAGTCCGCCGTGGATCCTCCTGAGCAGAGCCTCCTGCACAGCTGCTGCTCATTACCATCATCGGAGGATCCACTATATAAGCTGTCTTCAGACCTTGCCTCAATGCCGCAGTGTTGTTCCAGTTGGTCAGCTCTAAAGCCTAGATCTTCGTTGTTTCTCCATGACTTTGAATCCAGGTTGGATTCTAACTAGTGATGGGCAAGTGAAGCCTCATGAAGCAATGAAGCTTTCCAACGCAAAGTGTTGAAAAAAGTTCATTACTCTATGCTTCATTCATCACTCACTAGTGACATCTGCTGGTGAAACTGTAACAGCCTTGTTACTCAGTTGGATCATACTTCCAAATATTAGGAAATGTAATATTGTCACAAAGTTTTCATCAAACTCATGTTTAGTAAGAGGAGAATCCTATTCAATTGTCATGTTTTAATGATTAAAATGATTTGTAGCCAATCTAATCCTTGACCATCAGTGGTGGTGTTAGGTTTTCTTTTATGTCATGGACTTATTAGACAATGAAGATATGTGTTACTTTAATGTATTGAGAACTGAGTGACTGTTGCTGCAGACTCTGTATACTTTCAGCTTGAAACTTGCTTCCTTAAAGACAGAATTTGTTTAAAATCATCTCTTTCTAGGAGTTCTAGTTCTGATTCTTAATATTAAGTTACACATAGAGTTTGCCTCTTCTAATGGCTTTTAGTCTGGTTTTGATGTGTGATTCTGATGCATCTCCTGATTAAACAAAAGAAAATATAGAAATTTCTGGATTTTAGGTTTAATTGTTTTTATTTAGGAATAGGACTTTTTTCACTGTTTCAGGTTGAGATTGTGATCTGTCATCTCATAATACTCCCACATATGAGAGGTTTTTCTCTTTTTTGACGGCTCCATTTCAACCACTGCTGATGAAAACTGTACTACAACTCACGAAGAAACAGGATTCATCGCGCTTTTATTTTGAAAACCGACACGCAAAATGAAGCAGTCACGTGACCAATGCAATGCGAGGCCTCGTTTGTTGCCAGTCACGTGGTTTTCAACAAGACAACACAGGCCTCGAAGCGGGGCTTCATTGACACGCCCCCTTATTACTCGGTACAAGCCTCAAAGCCTGGCTTCAGATAGCCCATCACTAATTCTAACCACAATCTCTGTTTTTCCAGGAAACCCGTGCCTCCTCTGTGAAAGCTCAGGAAGAGCTAACCAGCCGAGCCGACCCTCAGAGCCAAAACCCTGAAGATTCTCTGAGAACCTCCAAGCAGCTCTGGACAAGAGCTGGGAAACCTAAGCCAAGGTCTGTTCAAGCTACACGTGAGACGCTGAAGCAGCAAACGGACTCTGCTGTTAAACTCTTCTCCAGAACCAACAGTGACTCTCCTAAAGAAAACCTCAACGACCCTCGAGACCCCGGTGAAACCAGAATCCAGGCCCGAACCAGAATCTGTACATTCTGTGTGTTTGTGCTAAATAAACTGTCAAACTTTCCATCCCTGTGTCCGTCAGAGGTGTTCTGCATAATTGGGTTACCTCCGAGTTCCAATCATGACAGAACACTGCGGCCAACAAAATTTCCCAGCGGAACCCCTCTGGAGGCTTCTGAAGGATCTACCGACTCAGATTCAGAACCTTGAGGCCTTCCTCCGTGGGAGCCACGATGAATTGGCTAGAAGAATTGAGTGTGCCATTCGAGATATTCAGGACCGGCTTTTGGACATAATCATGGGTGAGCTCAACACTCGACTTAATAAGTCTCCGCAGGAGTTTTCCAGACAGTCAGCTCCCAGAGCGGAGCCCGTCCAGCTTCCGTTTCTGGAACCAGAACCTGTCACGTCACTTCCGGAATTTCGTCCGTCTCTCCCAGAGAAATTTTCAGGTATCCCTAGCAAGTGTAAGGGGTTTTTGTTTCAATGCCGACTTATTTTCCAGAACTCTCCAGGCAGCTTTTCCTCAGATTACAGGAAGATAAACTTCATCCTTTCTCAGCTAACAGGAAGAGCCTTGGAGTGGGCTCAGGCTAGATTTCCCACCGACGACAGCCTTGATGGCTATTATTCAGACTTCATCTCTGAATTTACTCAGGTTTTCAACCAAGATTCTGACCAAACAATTGACTCTCGAGCTCTGTTAAATCTTAAACAGGGGAACTCCTCCGTAGCGGATTTTTCCATAGACTTCCGGGTTAAAGCTGCAGCCTCAGGCTGGAATGAATGTGCACTTAAGAGCGCATTTTTCAACGCTTTAAATGAAAACTTAAAAGATGAACTCGCCATACTCGAGTCACCTGAGACCCTAGAGGAACTTATCAGGCTGACAATTAGTTTGGATAACCGTCTTCGAACCAGATCAAGGTCTAAGATTAAGAGTCATGTTTTTCCAGTTTCTGTTTCTACGGCTAAGAGAAGGGACACCTCTTCTTTTGTTTCTCCCGAAGAGGCGTTCAGAACTGAGAGCCGTGCCCAGTCTGAATCTGAACCCGTGTCTAAAACTCATTTTGTTCCACCAGCTTTTGAACCAACTGAGGGGGAGCCAATGCAGATTGGTCACACTAGGCTCACACCCGATGAGAGGAAGAGAAGGTTCAAGGAAAAACTTTGCTTTTATTGTGGAATACCTGGGCATTTTGTTTTTTCCTGTCCAGCAAAGAATAGGATTTGGAGCTCGTCTGCGATTATGGGGAGTCTGGTGAAGCATCAACTAAATAGAAAATCCTCTCATCTACTTTTACCTGCTACCCTGTTCTGTTCTGATCAGACTCTCACTCTGTCAGCCTTCATAGACTCTGGTTGTGAGAGAAACCTTATTGACTCAAGTCTAGTTCAACAGCTAAACATTAAGACCACCCCTCTGAGGAAGCCACTTAAAGTCTCAGCCATTGATGGAAGGAGTCTACACCAAGTTACCCACGAGACTCAGCCTCTTCAGCTTCAAGTTTCAGGTAGTCATCGAGAGACCTTAACCTTTCTTGTTTTCCCATCAGCCTGTTCTCCCTTGGTTCTGGGATATGAGTGGTTGGAGCGACACAACCCTCATATTAATTGGACTCATAGACACGTAGAATCGTGGTCTCCCTCCTGCCATGCCTCCAGTCAGTCAACCAGTCCCCGCTCCGCCGAACCTTCTGGAGTCCCTCCTCGGCCGATTCGAGCATCCAGGGGCCCTCGGTGGGCGCCTCAGGACACCTCGGAGGCTGCACCGGAGTCGTCGTGGGCGGCTCTCTCCATGTTGCAGCCAGAGCTGCAGTCGGCGGCCCCGCCCTGCACCTATTTCTGAGCTGCTACCGGGTGTCTCCATGTAAGATATCAGAGACATTCTTTGTTGACGTCCACCTTTTTGTGGATTGTTTTTTGTTCTGGGACTCAGTTTGTTTTTTCCTTTTTATTTTCCTCCGTCCACCCTGGGTGGGTTGGTTCTTGCTTTGGACTTGGCTTCTTGCCTACCTAGTTTGGTGCCCACCCTTGGTGGGATGTTTTTTGTTGTTTCCTTGTTTCCCTAGGTCTTGTCTGAAGCGTCTGGAATCCGCCCTTGAGGGGGGGGTACTGTTGGGAGCTGGAGTAGTACCATCTTTCTCCAGCAGAGTCCGCCGTGGATCCTCCTGAGCAGAGCCTCCTGCACAGCTGCTGCTCATTACCATCATCGGAGGATCCACTATATAAGCTGTCTTCAGACCTTGCCTCAATGCCGCAGTGTTGTTCCAGTTGGTCAGCTCTAAAGCCTAGATCTTCGTTGTTTCTCCATGACTTTGAATCCAGGTTGGATTCTAACCACAATCTCTGTTTTTCCAGGAAACCCGTGCCTCCTCTGTGAAAGCTCAGGAAGAGCTAACCAGCCGAGCCGACCCTCAGAGCCAAAACCCTGAAGATTCTCTGAGAACCTCCAAGCAGCTCTGGACAAGAGCTGGGAAACCTAAGCCAAGGTCTGTTCAAGCTGGACGTGAGACGCTGAAGCAGCAAACGGACTCTGCTGTTAAACTCTTCTCCAGAACCAACAGTGACTCTCCTAAAGAAAACCTCAACGACCCTCGAGACCCCAGTGAAACCAGAATCCAGGCCCGAACCAGAATCTGTACATTCTGTGTGTTTGTGCTAAATAAACTGTCAAACTTTCCATCCCTGTGTCCGTCAGAGGTGTTCTGCATAATTGGGTTACCTCCGAGTTCCAATCATGACACTATGGATATAATTTCTCAAACTATTGTAGCTTTCCCTGCGTCCCACAAAAGAGAAGCTGAGACCATTCTGTTGCCATTCAAAGCAAAATATTCCAGTATTGCCAACCTTTTTTAATCTCTTACATTTGCAAATTTTTGTAGGTATTTCTATTTGATGGATGGTAAGCTCTGTGTGTAGCTGAAACATAACAGTGCACAGCATCCTGAAAACTGAATGCCTTCTGACAGGTATTGTGTGGTAAGGATACTTTTCTTTTGGGGGAGCTTGGAAACGGTCACAATGGATGGGGGAAATAGATGGAGTGAAATTCAAGGAAACACTGGAGGACAATCTGTGATTAAAATAGACTTGTAGAACAAGATCAAATTCCAGGAGGACAATGACATCAAACACACAGACAATAAGATCTCGCCGTAACCCTAGTTTGGTGAGAAGTTGCATGTTTGTTCTTTAAGTTTATGATAAAAAAAAAAAATTATGCCTGAATCCATCCTTTCCCTTCCCTGTTCAAGTGACTCTAAAGCCATACATCATTTTTAATGAGGTCAGAGAAGCTGACCTTGTGGGACAAGTAGCCCCAGCCCCAAGGGCGGCCCCTGAACTCTGTATCCGGTTTGTGCTGCTAACTCGTCACTCCCCTGCAGCAACATTTCGGTTTAATCAAGTTTCACCGGAACACCCTGGAATCAGTTACAAGGATGGAATAAATTAAAGATGCCCACTAAAAAAGAAAAAAAAAAGTGTCAAAGAGCAGTGGGGGAAACCGAAGATGCAGATGACGACTACGCACAAGAGCAGGAACCCGAGCCAGAGTAGAAAGGTAAGCAGGTAAGCGACTCAAGAACGCATGAAGATTAAAGAAAACATTTGAGGATGGCAATGAAGGTTATACAAAGCATGGAGTGAGAAGCACCAAGAAAAGAGGAGAAGGAGAGAGGGGGATGAGTTGATCAAGGATGAAAACACAATGAGTCCCTGGGTGGAAAGAAGGCAGGGAAACTTCCAGATGTGATCGAGTCAACCGAGAGAGGTTGAAAGAAGTTCGCTGTAAAAGACAAGATGGGATCAAAGAGCAAAAAGAAAAAAGGTGGAGATCAGGCTGCTGGGGATGAGGAGGAGGCAAAAAAGAAAAAGAAAGACAAGAAGAAAAAATCCTCAGAGAAAGGTGATAGTGATGAAGACCCAAAGAAGACAAAGGGAAAGAAGAAAAAGATTGAAAACTATGTTGAAATCTATGAGAACGAGCTCCGCAACTATGAGCCAGAGAACGTGGAGAACTACGAGGACGAATACCACAAAAAGAAAGGTAACACAAACTTTTGATTTAAACCTGTCATAGTAGGTTTAACTATCTGCAAAACCTACTGACAGATGTCGTATTTATAGAAGCAGTCACATCCGAATAAGGGACAATTGGATTTAAGCAAAGCTTTTTAAGTGTGTTTCATTAAACTCTGCAGTGTATGAGGTGGTGACCATTACAGGGGATGAGAGCGGAGCAGGTACTGATGCCAACGTGTTCATAACTCTTTTTGGAGAGTATGGCATCACACCCAAAATTCACCTGGCCAGCAAGTAAGCTTAGTTTGGAAAATATTCAGCTCTATAAGCTTGTCTATGTGTGTAATGAAGATAAACTTTTTTTTCTGGTATTGGGTATAATTGATGGTTGATGAAGTCCGTTCCTGCTGTTGCACTAACACCACCTGTTTTTCCTCCACTTTCACAGCACGGAGAAAAAGTATGTATTTATTTATTCATTTGTGGGGGGGATTGTTTTGTTTTCTAGAACGAACTGAGTGCTGTGTTGTTTTGCAGAATAATTTCTCCTAAATCCCTTTTTGTTTTTTGCTTTACTGGGATTTAATGTAAATTCTTCTCTTTATCTCTTTCAATAAATCCTGTTCTGTTTGTTTTCTTTGTATTACTTTTGTGGTTAAATTTTTTTACTTTCACTCTCAGAATTATGAAAATCAGGCTATTTTAATAATAAAATGCTTATTTTACATTTAAGGAGTAGAACTGCATTTGAAAGAGCCAAAACTGATGTGTTCAGGATCAGAACTCACAATGTTGGGCACCTGAAAAAAATAAGGTAGGGCTGACACCGTAGTTTCACTGCCTTTGGGCTTGTTAGATATACTTCTTAGATCAAAATGAAATAAACAGGATTAGGCAGAGATAGATTGATGAATGAATATTTTTGTCACATGTTCTTCTTGTCCCAGGATTGAGCATGACAACACAGGCATGAATGCAAGCTGGTTCCTGGACCGAGTGATCATCACAGATGTAATCCGCCCCCATTTAAGGTTTTACTTTTCTTGTAATAATTGGCTCAGTAGGGTGGAGGGAGATCGCCTTTATGTTAGAGACCTGCTGGCCACTATGGACCAAATGGACATGCCCAAATGTAAGAACGGATTTATAAAAAATAAAAATAAAAACTACAAAATTAAAAGCAGACGTTTAAAGATGATCCTTCAAATGTTTTTTGGGGGGGGGGTTCCCAGACAACAAGTACATTGTGAGCGTTTTTACTGCGGACATGAAAGGAAGCGGAACTGATGCAGATGTCTTCATCAATATTTTTGGCGAGTTTGGAGACACAGGTATTCTGCTGGTCACACTAGTAACTAAATTGGTTTTCACCCCAAGCTAAATGTCAAATTTGACACAGAAAATCTAGAAGTCGGCAGACAAAATGAACGATCGCTTTCATTACAGGAGAAAGACGCCTTGACAGCGACAAAAACAACTTTGAAAAAGGCACAGAGGACAAGTTCACAATCGAGGCACCAAACTTGGGGAGAATTAGGAAAATCACCATCGGCCATAACAACAAAGGCTCCTCAGCAGGATGGTTTCTTGATAAGGTGCAAACAATATTCATGTGTTTTACTTTGTCCTGGAAGCTGGAGATTCACATTTCAAGTATATCCTTAAATTCACTCTCAGATTATTTCTTTCAGCCTCAAAAATGTATGGTTTTCTCACAGCTGGCAATGTTTCCATGAATGCTGGAATTTATAAGTTTCCAATTATGACCATGTAGAATGTACAAAAAAAAGCACTGTATCATAAAGATAAAATAATTTGTGTCACGCTGTAAGAGTTATAAGATGTCTTCCTGTATAAGTTCTGGCATCAGCAAATAGAAAATGTTTGACAGGTAATAGTCCTTTAAAACAGAAAGCAAGAGCTGGCATTTATACTACTTTTATTGAATTTAGAGTCTATTTGATATATAGAAAAAGAGCACAACAATGAACTGTTGCCCAGTAATTCAGAAAACTGGTTGGTGAAAGTTTTTTTTCGAACCTGTAAAATGTTTCTAAATACGCTTTTTAAGCTTTTAGTGCTTATAGTAGATTACTGGTGATTCAGCACAACAATGAGCAAACCTCATATATTTTCACTTTTTTTTTTTTCTTGAGTACCCCTAAAGTAGGAAATACAATTTGGATTAAATATAAAATATGCTACAGGTGGTCGATATAAACTATTAATCTACAACTGATTGGTTTGTGATGCTATGGCAGACCTAGAAATGTTTAACATACTCCTGATATGTTCATTAAATGTAGACTAAATGTATTTGTAACATCAATGGAGAGGTAAATTAAGCCCTAGGGTGTCCTTTGGTTTCAGGTTCCTGTGGTGGATGGCTGAAGGTTGCAGGAATTTAACTGAAACTTTTATCTTAAAAAACATAAACAAAATGTTTTCCTCTTAGACAAAGATGCTTCAAATAAAATCTGCAGTCGCCCTGTCATAGCAGAACGTAAAATCAGTGGAAAAATCTCACAATCCCCTGTTTATGTATGAGCTAGACTGCAGGAATGCAGGAAAGGAGTTTAAAATACCCATCAGCCGTGACTAAACAGTTTTGCTTCCACTGTGAAAAGGTCCTAACCAAAAATAAAAAATCTACTTTCTTTTTTTAACTATAAGGGACAAAAGAGTTCTTTGTCTAATGTGTTTTAAGTACTGAAAATTAAAAACGAACACAATTTGTCCCAGAAGAACATTAAGTCCTTCTATGTCCTCAGTGTTGCCTCCTCAATGGTAGTTAAGACACTGGATCTCCTCATTTGCATTTCAGTCTTCCGTATCTAGCTCTCATCTCTGCTCTTTGGACGCATACAGTACGGTGTGCACCTGTGAGAGATGAGTTGACTCAAAGTGACGCGTACATGGACACATACATGACACACGTGTCGTCATCCTAGCCTCTGTGTAAAGAGAAACCATTGCTCATTAAGGGATAGCCTTTCAACTAACAGACAGATGAGTCAGTAGATTTGTTTGTTACTGTAGGGACGAGTGACACTGAAGTTCAGTTGTGAAAACAAATTTGCATAGTAATTGGACTTTGTGATGCAGTTATAGCACACACACACACACACACATATATATATATAGTGCATATATGCAAAATCAACAAAATAATGGTTAGTTGCAATAGTTATCTATAACTAGACAGTATGTCAAAATCTTACAATTCTGATAAAGAGTTTATAAAGTTAAGTGTTGCAAATAAAAGGGGCTCAGAAAAAGGGTTTGCTGTTTGGATTGTTAATAATAAAAAAAAATAAGGACATATTGTTTTAATTATTGATCCTGCCAGCGTGTGTAACCATTATTTATACTGAAAAAACAACAAATTCAGCTCAGGAATAATAAATATTGCCTAAACTTCACAAAAAACAGAAGATTTACTTTTGTGGAGTAAAACATCAGTGAATATGGCAGGCAGAAGCTGCAAGTTTCTAGTTGTCTCTTAATTCTTGCATCATTCCTGGTATTTTGTTTGCTTTAGTGTTTCTCTTAAGATCTGCCCTATCTCTGATTCATATTGAAGACTTATACACAAGATCTGATGAACAAAAATACAGAACCTTGACCTGTTTTTCTACAAAACTTAAAAGCTTTCTTATTTTCCAGTGATCTCCCAAGGCTTTAAGCAAAAGACTATTTGAAACATAGCTCTCTTTCAGTATTTTTGAACAGTATAACACCGTCCGTATTGTTGTATCTCTGGTTAGGGTCTGTGAAAGCCTTCAAATGCTCAGTTATATTTTATATTTTAAAGAACACCTATTAATACTATTTGGGAAGCACATTTGTGGCTTACTTATATATGTTCTTTGGTATTTTAGTCAAGATAAAAAACTTAAAGTTCACTTAAATCACTGGTTTGACTTAGGGTTTTTTTTTACCAATAACTGGGACCATGTGAAGATATAGAATAATTTTTTAATTATCAAATAGAATTTTCTTGCCCCTTTGTGCTTAACAACTTAACAACTAGTAATGCAGTTGTGATCAACAGTTTGAAATAATTAATCATTTTTGCTGTTTTTGCAGGTGATTTTGGATGATTTGGGAAACAAAGTAGTATATGAATTCCCCATCCATCGCTGGTTTGCCCTAGATGAAGATGATGGGAAGATTCAGAGGGACATTTTGGTGGGAGCCGACCAGCCGACAGGTGAGGTTAAAAAACAGATTTAAACCAGGAAAGAATGTAGCAGTATCGAGAAAGGCAACCTCTGCGACCTCTTTCAATTATTAAAATGCTCTAAGCTTCTCTACACAATGCTATTAAAAGCAAAGCGTTGCTGGAAAACCTTATAATTATTATTAATTAGCCTAGGAGGCTGCTGTTCACATCTGAGGATTCTTGTTCCTGCTCAGCTCTGTGAGACTTAAAATGTGAAAAACTAACTAGTAACTGAATCCCGCAGGTATTATCTACAATGTTCAGGTTGTGACGGGAAACATCCGAGGTGCAGGGACCAACTCCAAAATTCACATAGTGATGCATGGTACCAAAGGCCAGAAGAACAGTGGAAAGGTAACAGGGAAGACTTCCAACTGATAAGTAGAATTGCTGTATTTCGTTTTTAGCGCACTAAAGATTGAAGTTTTGACAAGACAAAATGTGTGAAAGTTCAGGGGGTGTATATACTTTGTGAAGCATGTGCATAACAAATGTAGTAAAGTAGAAGGATTTAAGACAAAAATGTTCAAAAAAATATTTGATAAAGGTATAAGAAAAACTGTAGTGCTCAGGAAGAAGAAATACTGCACCTGTTTATCAGAGATGGCAAAAGTACTCACTTTCCGTACTTGAGTAAAAGTACAGATACTTGTGTTAAAAAATACTCTGGTAAAAGTGGAAGTACTGATTAAACTTCTTTACTCAAGTAAAAGTAACAAAGTACAGGCTTGTCAATTTACTTAAAGTATAAAAGTAAAAGTAGAAACCACTTTTTTCATGCCGTTGCCTACATTTTAAATGGATGTCTGCCAATAGGACTAGATCTCCGTTGTGTTCATTTTCAATCATCTCGTCGTCCATGCTACTATGCTAACGCCAACGCCACCAAGCTGCAATGATTTGCCACCAATGAATACCGCCGAATCTGTCGATTCATCTTGTAGTGGTGCGTCAAATGCAACGTAGATTCCCATCCAATTAGATTGAATTTGGTATTGATGACGTGAAAAATAATAACGGTAACTCCATTGAAATTAATCAAAACTAAAGTAACGAGCCAATTTTTCTAAATGTAAGGAGTAGAAAGTACAGATATTTGTGTAAAAATGTAAGGAGTAGAAGTAAAAAGTCGCCATAAAAATAAGTAGTAAAGTAAAGTAAAAATATCAGAAAAATCTACTTGAGTACAGTAACGAAGTATTTGTACTTTGTTACCTCCCATCTCTGCTGTTTATAAAACCTACATGCTACACATTGTTGTGTTTTCCATTTGGATTTTCCTTAATACATTTTAATTACAGGTCTGATTCACATTTCAATTGTTCCCTTTTCTGCAGATATTTCTGGAAGGAGGAGAATTTGAGCGAGGCCTGACAGACATATTTAATGTCGAGATTGCTGCGCTGCTCAGTCCTCTCAGCAGAGTTACCATTGGACACGACAATGATGGGGTCAGCCCCGGTTGGTACTGTGAGAAGGTGATGTAAAAATGGATTGCAAACAGTTTAGATGGGGTTTACTATGAATTGGCTCAACTGAATCAAGGTTTTCCACAGGTTGTTGTGTACTGTCCTTTCACAGGGATAGAGCAGACCTTCCCATGTGGTAAATGGCTGGATGAAAAGGAGGGGGACGGGCTGATTGAGAGAGAGTTGTATGAGATGGTCTCTCTAAGGCAAAGGAGGCAGAAAAGTAAGTTTGATGTTTGTCAATAGCAGTCATTCCACACACAGTAGCGTTGAAAAGAATCTTGAGTATTTCCTTCCTTATTTTTTTGTCGTTTGATCTCAACAATCAAACGACCGGTTATTGCAATCTTTTAAAAATGCCTCGATAATCTTTTTTTTTTTTCATTCAAATTTTTTTAATGCTTTAACTTGGACTTCGGCTGCTTCTTTAAGTCATCTTCCTTCCAATAGCTACACATCACCAAGAATGTGTTTAAATTATTTACCTCACTTATCAATCATCTATGGATTAAAAATCAGTTTACATTTTAATTGTATTCAGGTTTGTTTGTTTATTAAGATAATATCTAAAAAAATAAAAACCAGATGAAGAGAAAAAGTGAGCAGCAGGTTGTCCACAGTCTTGCAAAGCATGACGATGCTCTGCATGTAACACTGAAACTCTGCACCTCAGTGTAACAGTCGCCACCTACGTAAGAGAAAAGTAGTAAAGCCAAAGGCTCCTGCTTCATTACTAGTTAAAAAGGTGAAGATTTGCATCTTGGCTGACATGTCTTGTGAAGAGTGGGAAGTCAGTTGAAAAGGAGGAGCAGTACATTGAAGACCTAACAAAGAAAAACCTTAATAAGTCATTAATACTAGGTGAATCTAATATTCTAAATAAATAAACAACCATTGTGAGCACATTCAGGTATTCATACATTGTAATGCCCTGCTCTCATTCTGAACAGCATTGTTACTCTGATGTGATCAGGCAGGTTCTTACAAACCTTTACAATGACTGTCTGCAGCATGGTAGAATTTATGGAAACAGGGAAAGCCTCCCTTTTATATATTCAGTCTATTCCTGTCAAGGTATCGCACTTTTTGTTTCTGTTTAAGTCTTATTCCTTTTGAATTTTCATAAGTTTCATTTACATTTTGTGGTGTTTTCTGGTTTTATTTGAGTTCTTATGTATTTCTTGTTTACACACTGTTGCCATCTTGTGTCAGTCTCCTTCCCCTGCCTCCCTTCTAGATTCTTCTGTCCACACCTGCTCCCAATCTGCTAATTTGCCTAGTCTTTTTTATACTCCTCCTCCTCTTTAGTTCCTGTTTGCTGGTTCCTCATTGTTCCTTTGCTCCTCATGTGTGTTTTCCCTGATGTCTCCTGGATTTAGGTTTTCTTTATTTTGTTTGTGGATATAATAATCCAAAGGGCAACAAGCTTTTGCTTCTGTTGCCCTTTGGATTATTAAACCTGCAAGAAACCACTTCTGCTTCAGTCTCTGTATTTGGGCCCTCAAAAAAACTCCACAACACCTGACAATTCCATGTTTTACTCAAAACTTTGCAGCCGAACATTTTGTCTAATGACATTGATATTTAGGGACATCAATAAATCTTTGGTACTAGTATAAGATACATGAATAGAAAAAAAAGAATGATCTTTTTAACAATCTATTCTCTGTTTACAATCTGTTCTCTGTTTACAATGCTTTACGTTCCAAATCTAACAGTGATCCACAAACCTTTGGTAGTAACTTTGTGTTTTAAGGAAACATAGTTCTGAAGACTCTTAGAAAAGTGGATGTTAAATTACTAATACTAATTTAATATTTTATTAACCTAATGTGTTTTGCTTTAAAAGTTTGTTAAAATATGGTCGGATATTTGAGCACTCTATTACACAACCTATGAAGTAACTGCAATTTATTTCAGTAATATAAAGCTATGAAAAATAGGCCCCTATCATGATTTTTTCCTCTACTTTTCCACTTTATCTCTGTTTAAACACAAGCCCCTTGGTGTCTGACACCATTAATATGATAGAACTGGGAAAAAATTAAGCAGTACTTTAAAGGAGCAAAATATCAATAAAAAAAAGTGACCTTGTCCATTTTTGGTAAACAATGACTTTGTGAAAGGCTCAGCAAAAGCTCCTGCAGTGCGTTTTGAGCAGTAGAAGCAGTGCGTCCAAGCAGTTTAAGCAGCTCCTCATAAGCTTCTGATGCGCGTAACATGCTTCAGTAGCAGCAGCAGCAACAGCTGGAAAAAATTTACTTTTGTTGCTCGATGTGCCACATCAACCAATCAGAGAAGCTGATCTTGGAGCTGGCAGGGAGACAGACACAGGGTTGCTGATACAGATTGCTATGATCACTCCGATGAAACTGTTTATTAATGCGTAAATTAACTTAAAATGTCGAAACCTGCCGGAAAAATATTTTTGTTTGTATTATTCTGGTGCCTGTAGTTTGGATTACGTACGTGAAAGACGCCTTCCAGTCGCCGCGAACAGCAGCGGAAAACTGCAAAGAGGCAACTGGACCAGAGGATGCCGTTGAACTGGAATTTCAGGGACAGAGCTCCACCGTAAAACTGTTCGCAGGTGTAAGGGGTCTGAGTGGCTCTGACAGCGAAAGAATATTTGAAGGCAGGATCATAACCTTGATGAACTGACTGTACAGATGAAGTTTTAAGGTGGACTTTCTCACTTAAAAACATATTAAAACTATGTTTTAACCACTTATGAGAGCAAACAGAGCAAAGCATCTCTCTGCCACTGACTACAGGAGCAGCAGAAGTATCATACGTATCTGGACAAACTTAACTGCACGTCTGGCCTTAATGTGGACAAGCATCAAAAATGAAGCAGCAGAAGCTTTTGATAGCAATGAAACTGAAAAGGAGGCCTTTTTTTGGGTGGGGGGGAGATCTGCCGGGTTGCTGACTGGACCGGACCAGACATTCTGACTCAGTGCAGCATCTTCATAAATAAATGTTTTTTGTTTTTTTTTTGTCTGTTTGTAGAACACCCCTGGTCCTTGTGGATTTGGACGTCAGACCTGCAAGGTGCTGGCACCGATGCAGATATCTCTTTTCAGGTTTATGGAGAAAAGGGCAAGTCAGATGAAATCAGGCTGGACAATAAGTCTGACAACTTTGAAAAGGGTCAGGTTGACAAGTTTATGGTGGGTAGGAAATTATTTAAAAATATCTAAATTTAAATCTGTAAGTCAGGTAACAAATATTATAATTATCCACAAGGTTGAGCTGCCTGATTTGGGAAAATTGACCAAACTCCGTATCTGGCATGAGAAGAGAAATCCTTTTGCAGGATGGCATCTGAGCAAGGTCAGATTTCTCATCTCTATTCAGATAAATTTATTGCATTCCTGCACAGAGTTGTATAATATCTTATTTTTATGTTTGTGATCTAAAGATTTTCTGCTTCCATTTTTCCCGGCTATCTTAAGCTTCATTTTTAGTTCATGTTTCAACCCGTGTGTCTTCCCTATATGAAACAATAGCAGTGCTTCACATTGCTAAGTGGGGTTTCTTTTAGGCAACTTTGATGAAGACATTGACAAAGGAGAAGTACACATTTCCATGTGAGCGGTGGCTGGATATAAACGAAGACGACAATGAGGTTGTGAGGGAGCTTCCTGCCTGTGGAGACCTGATTGCTGAGCCACTGCCTGGCATGTCTTTACACAATTACAAACAGATGTATAGGGACTGTTTTTTTTATTTTATTTTTTTAATTACTATTCTGAAGTTTTGTTCTGTTTTGCAGTGATTAAATATCGGCTGACAGTCTGTACTGGTAATGTTGGTGGAAGCGGAACAGACGCATCAATATTCATCAACCTGATTGGAGACCAGGGGGATACAGGAGAGAGGCAGCTGATAAACTGCAAAAACAATGTCAACAAGTTCGAGAAAGGAAATGTGGGCATATTTTACACATCATGTTAAAAGAAAACAGACTTCAAACCTAAAACAATCAGCACACAAGGTTCAGCAATAAAACATAAAGGGGCCTGCAAGGAGCTGCTCAGGAGCTGTTGCTTTTTGGGCACTCCACAGTAGCTCTCAATAATTCTAGACAAGCAACATGTTAAACTGTGAAAGATTTTTGAATATAAAGTACAATAAAAGCAGACTGTTCGTATAATTACATGGTTTTGTGTAATATCTTAACAACAGAATAAGACCAAGATTGTATTGTTATAAATAAATAAATAAATTCTGATTATGAAGGTTAAACAATATAATAAAAACTTTTTAAATATTTATGGATCTTGGATTTTGTTATTGGATATGATTGCTTATACTGTACTACCGTACTCATTTAAAGTGAAACCAATCAATTCCAAAGCAAATTAGAACAAAATTAACTCAACAGATAAAAAAAAATATTCTATTCACTGCTGACAGAAAGAAAATTCATAAAAGAAGGTCTTATATTTTTACCAATTAGTCCTGGCTGAAAAAAATCAGCATGTTATTGAGATTTTTTGCTACAGTTAGAGCCATAATTATTTTATTTCAGGCTTGATCAGATGTATTTGAAGCAAGAGAAAATGGCTTCGTGCATTAAACTGTTGCTGGTCCTGTGTTAACTAACCAAATAAACTAGAACCATGTATCCTATACCCCACACTTAAGCTCATTTGCATGATTAACAGTTTAAGTATTTGTATATATATATATATATATATATATATATATATATATATATATATATATATATATATATATATATATATATATATATATATATATATATATATATATAAAAACCTCAAAATGTTTTTAATTTCAGATGGATGAGTTTATAATTGAGGCCGTGACCATCGGGCGGGTCCACAGGATGAGGATTGGACATGATGGGAAAGGCGGTGGCTGTGGCTGGTTTCTTGATAAAGTGATTGTAAGAGAAGAAGGAAAGGCAGAGGCCCAAGCTGTAGAATTCCCCTGCAACAGGTAATATTCACGATCAGTAAATTTTGGTACCTTGCAAAATAATTGATACAACTTCAATTTTGTCAACTTATAATCACAGCGTCATTGCTATTTATTGAGGATTGACATAATGCAACAAAGCAAAGTAGTTTATGTATGTACTAATACTACTATTATGTATGTAGTATTATGAGAGCACAAAAATATTCAAGGTTTTATATTCTTTTTATTACAATAAGCATTTGTTTTCAGTCCAGAAATTAGTAGTCTCTGAAGTCGAGATGCATTTGAAAGATGTCCTTTCCACATTTTCACATACAGAGTCTAAAGTGTTCACTAAAACTGATCTGACAAATAAGTTCATTTAGAGGGTGGAGAGCATTTGTACATGATTTTTTTGTCTGTTTGTTTTTGTCTAAATTTTGAATGGGCCACTTTAACCTTTACAACCTAAATGTATTAACAGTTATTCAAATAGGTTATAACAATACATTTCTTTTTTTTCTGTCAGATAGACAGCCAAGTCAAACAATGATTGCAAATATGATAGATAATAACAGAAATTACCGTGCAAATATGTAAAATTTGGCATAAGTCTGATGACTAATGATGATGATGGTTATGCTTGGAATGTGCATCAGAAGGATTTAGTAGGATACAATTGGATTAACTGCGTTAGTCTTTTTGGGGCTAACACAAGTACTTTTAGTAGTAGTTTCAGCAGAGACTCCCAGACTTCCCTCTCCCCAAATACATCTTCAAGCTCTTCTGGTGAATTCTAAGGCCTATCGGGTGCTAACCAAGAGACATAGTCTTAGCGAGTCTTGGGCTGTCCCCTGGGCCTCCTCTTGGTGAGTGCTCTCTTTTTTCCATCGTGTTCTCCTTCTTTCCCATCGCCCGGCTTGCCAAAAGTTTTCTCGCTGTGTCTAAAAGTGGCTCGCAGCAGTAACCCTGAATGACAGCTCATTGGCTAATTTATATAATGTGTAGCCTGGTCCCGGAAGCTCCGGAGGGCTTTACCATATTAACAGGAGAAGCAGCGCAAGTAAAGTTAGACACTGTCATCAGTCAACATGCGGTAATTTTTAAATGTTTTAAATCATACTGGGTCAGGTTATGTATCTGTCACCTCCTTCACTAAAACAGTGGTCAATTCATAATACTTTCTCATCTCCTCTTTTTATCCTTGTCAATGTAATAGAGGCATCAGCAATGAAGAATTTATGGATTTTATGCTGTGACCTAATGGTTCATGCCACTGCAGTACTATTCCAGAATAATAATTACATACTATTGGTGGCTTCCGTATCTCTTCGTAGGTGGCTAGACCGCAATGAGGACGATGGACAAATCACTAGAGAATTGGTGCCATTCTCTGATGGACAGCGACTGTACAGTAAGTGGGAGGAGGCTGTCCGTTTATCTAGCATTTCATTATGTTGCTAAAATTCACATTGATGCCATTTGTCAGATATCAGCTATCAGATCGCAATAAAGACCGGCGACATACCAGGAGGAAGCTCAGACTCGAATGTATTTGTCAAGCTATATGGCGAGAAGGGAGACACTGACAAGACGATGCTGGTGGTTTCTACAAACAACTTGGGGAACTACTTTGAGACCGGCCGTGTTGACATCTTCACAGTGGAAACCTTTGATATTGGACAGGTTCTCCCACTTAGTCCTGATGAAAGTCATAGAATTCTGAAACTGAAGCCCTTGATAAAACAGCTTTATACAAAGCATCACTTTATGGCATCTTAATGTACCTGTATGGTGTAATCTGTTAAATCCCATTTAACTTTGTTGGTGAATTTCAGATCAACCGTCTCCTGATTGGTCACACTAACAAAGGCATGCGTGCAGGTTGGTTCCTTGACAGCGTCCAGATTATGGTTCCCATACAAGGAAAGAATTACATGTTCCCGAGTCACCGGTGGCTTGACAAAGACAAAGCTGATGGAAAAACAGAGGTGGAGATTTACCCAAGCGAGATCCTAGAAATGGTACAATGTAGGTATAACGCTCACCTTCTTATGCTCTTCAATGAAAAAAACAACATTAAGAATCTCCAGAACTAATATAATCACACAGAACTTCTCTGGGGGGTGATTTTTCATTGTTTTCATCAGCGTACAATATTTTGAAGCAGCACTTGGAGAAGTTTTTTAATGTCTTGATAAAATGTTTGTGGCTGCTGAGTGTTGCAGTGGGTAGCACTGCTGCCTTGCAGCAAGAAGATTCTGGGTTTAATTCCCAGATGCAAAATCTGCTTAGAGTTTGCATGTTCTCCCTGAGAATGCGTGGGTTCTCTCTGGGTACTCTGGCTTCCTCCCACAATCCAAAAACATGACTTTTAGGTTAATTGGCTTCTCTAAATTCTCCTTAGGTGTGAGTGTGTGCGTGAGTGGTTGTTTGTATTGTCTGTGTTGCCCTGCGATGGACTGGCGACCTGTCCAGGGTGTACTTGCCTATAGACAGCTGGAGATGGGCACCAGCACCCCTTGCGACCCCACTCGGGACAAGCGTGTCAGATAATGGATGGATGGATGGATAATATGTTAGCTTAAACTTGCAGGGATTTAGAATTCATTATGATTTACTGAAAATACCCTACACTGCCAAAAGTACTACCTCACCCATCAACAGTAAATAACTAAAATCAGGGGTTTCAATTATCTCCATGAACTCCACAGATGTATATTAGCAAGCACCTAGTATTGTGGACTGCTTTTACAAGAATTTCTGAAGGAGTGGGTTGCTCGTTGGAGGTCAGTGAATTCCAGCAGGGTGCTATGATAGAATGCAACAAGTCGTGTCATGAAATTTCCTCACCCCTAACTATTCCATATTCAACTTTCAGTGATATTATAACAAGTCGAAATGACTGAGAACAACAACCCCTCAGCCATGAAGCGGAAGGCCACGTAAACTGATAGAGACGAAGCAGCGGATGCTGGAGCTCTGTACACAGATGTCCCCAACCTTTTGTAGAATTAGTCACGACAGACCTCCAAATTTAATGTGGCTTTAGGATAAGAACAGGACTTAGACAGATTCATGACATTGGTTTTCATGGCTGAATAGCTTCATCCAGGCCATATACCACCAAGTGCAATGCAGTAGTGTAAGGCACGCTGTCACTGGGCTGTTATCTGGATTGATGGTTTGAGTTTGTGTTTGGTGATTTTCGAATAACTTAGAACAGAGAGGGAAGACTTTTTTTTTCCAATAGCAGTCTATGATTTTCCAAATGTTCTGGGGAATCGGTCTCAAATATCAACATAAACACCTATAAACCTGTAGCAGCCAAGATATTGAACCCCAGGAACTATAAATGGGGTGTCACCTATGTTTATATCGGAGTGAAGGGAGACAAGTGAATATGTTTGGCAATGTAGTCTATCATAAAATTCTTTCTTTTTTTACTATTATGGATTTTATTAACTAATTGAGACACATTTTTCTGTAGTAAACAGGCATGACCTTACCATGAATACTTTGTTAGCTAAAACCCTTTGATGACCTTCACTCACTTATTTGTTTTTTCATTACTTATCTTGATTTCTAGTGATGAACTATGAGGTAACAGTAGTCATTGGAGATGTGATGTTTGCCGGCACCAATGCACGGGTGTTTATCCAGATCTATGGGGAGAAGGGCAAAACTGAAATTATCACTCTTGAAAACAGATCCAACAATTTCGAACGGAATACAACAGAAATATTTAAGGTATCAAAGTTTTATTTTATCTTTTCATTGTCTCCATATAAGAGTTTTCTTTTGATTCCCTGGGAAAATAGTATTGCACAATATCAACAACTTTCAAACCTTTTCACAGTTTGAGGCCAAAGATGTGGGGAAGATCTTTAAAATACGAATTGGTCACGATGGCTCCGGAATTGGATCTGGCTGGTTCCTGGAGGCAGTTGATGTTAAACATCTTATAATGGCTCTGATGCCTAAAGAAAAGAAAAAAGAAGACAAGAAAAAGAAGAAGAAGAAAAAGAAAGACGAGGTTGAGGACGAAGATGAAGCAGAGGAGATGCGGGAGGTGGTGCTCGCATACCATTTTCCTTGCTCACGCTGGCTTAGCAAGGGAGAGGAGGATGGAGAACTTGTGGTGGAGCTTCTATCTGAAGATGCAGAGGAAGATCTAGAAGGTATGAAACATAAAGAGAAAGAAAACTGACATCTAATAATGTATATTTTTAATATCTACAGCTTAAGATTTTAAAGTTTAAGCCCCTTTTACACTTAAGGCCATTGTATGGTGGCATCGATAACCTTAAAGATTCCATGGTGTCTAAAAAGCAGCTAATTCGGAAAACTACTTAAGTGCACATAGGTGCAGCTAAATGCAAGAATATTGCCAGCCATAGACCAACAGTAGTACTACATAGACCTGCCCTATATGGTGTCCAATATTTTTAGGATTAGAACAATCATTCTAGAAATATAAAAAGGTCTATCCACATCCATTATCAGTATCAGTCTTGCTCTTTAGTGCAGGTAACATTATGAACATAGATGATTCTAGACAGGAGCCAACAGAGGCCAATGCCCCCGTAGAACCAGTCCTGTCTCCTGTTATGACCCATCTACTAACAACATCAAACTAAATACATTTAAGATGATGATGATATGCACTGGCATGTAACCATAACTGATCTCTTGTATCGAATTCCAGTTTCTACCTTTTGAGCTTTACTTAAATTATTAATTTAAAATTAAGGTGTTACATTTTGTGATGCATTGAGATCATAGTTCTCATCTGCAAGATTAGGGGTCTGCAACCTGAGGCTCCAGTGCAGCAAGTAGTTGTTACGTTGTGGATGAGTTTTTTTTTTATTCTTTGCCTGCATGTTATCCATACAAAAAAAAGTTTACATGTAGGACCACCCTGATCCCCCCAGTAAATATGATATATAAAATTGGCTGTGATTATTCTGGTGAGAAGTGTGCTTCCCCCCTAGATCCTTATATTGATGTTTATTACATGACATGTTTGTTGAAAATGCTTGAGATTTTCTGTTTTCAATTAACTCAACAATAGCAGAACATCTGCGATGAAGAAACAATGCAATCAATTCGTTGGGAGGGTTGTAATGATAAATTGATAGCCTTGGCATGTAGCCAGTGTTCCCTATCATGTTTAATTTTGCTCATGTGACAAGTGCACATGTTTTCCACCTGGACAGAATAAGGCTGCTGCTATTAGGCTCCTCCATGACCTAGCTATGCTGCTATCACCATCTTCTTACAAATGTTTATTGAATGGAAAAAAAACAAGAGCCCTCTTTAACTCCATTAGGCATGGGCGTAGGTTTGCATGGGGACCATAGGGACATGTCCCTACCAACATTTAGAACCGTCCTAATTGTCCCTACCAATAATCGGATGTGAGCAACATGTTGCTAATTTCCAGCAGTAGTTGTTGCAGCTTCTTTTCCTCTGGCAGCTCCTCTGCCTGCTCTCTCCTGTCCCTTTCACGTAGCAGCGCATGGAACTGTGCTGCGCTGTTTAACTCCACTCTCATTGGTTGTTCTGCCTTAGGTTCGGCCTTCTCTCTCTCTGATTGGCTGTTTTCTAGTCCAAGTGTGCTTGGAGCACAAAATTGAAAATATATTCACACGTAACACAACCTTTTATCATCGTCCTATATTGCTACTGTCTGACTGTTTAAATAGCTCCTTATGTCTATTTTCTTTTTTAGTGGCATCATCTACAAACACAACACTGAGAATGAGCCTAAGGGTATTCAAATATAAAATCACTTTTAACAACTATAAAAGACAATATAACACTATCTTATCTGTAATGTAATAATATCCTAAATAAACAGCCAGATTCCAGCATTTTTACCAGACATTAATGTTTGTACTAATTTACTTATAGACTGTGTGGAAATCTATGTAAAATAAAATTAATGTTAATATTCTTCCTCTGTTTGTTCAACCTATTCTCATTATGAGTGCGTATGAAATCGTACGAAAAGTTATGCACCGTAATTTTGGACGTTTTGGACGTTTTTTTCGTCGTATGCGCATCTGACGCACCATTCACGAATCTAGAATATAAATTACAATTAGCCCTAATCCTAAGATATAAAACCGGAAGCAACGTAGTTAGAGACATGAATAAGTGATGATTGCACTGTTTTTTTCCATTTTTACGTCCGTCTGCAGATCTGCTTTTTTTTTCTGTCTGCCAGCACATGCGCACTGATGTGGTTTTTTGAGGAAAAACGTCCAAAACGTACGAAATAGTGTGCATAACTTTTCGTACGATTTCAGACGGACTCATAATGAGAATATGTTGGTTTGTTCTTGTCTTTATCCTATTTCTAGAAGTAGAAATAGTCAATTAAATTACTATTATTATGTGAAACCCTAATTATGCTTTTTAAACAAAAAACAGCAGATGATTAGGCGCCATTTCTTGTTGTTATCCTCTATATGAGAAATAACACCTGCTAATAATTATACCTGAACTTCCTCAAAGGGTTGTCAAAAAATGAAAACAGCAACTAAATATCGGTAAAAAGGAAACCCTCACATTTTCTTTTTTAGTTGGCTGTGGCTAAGAACCAGACATGTTGATGCTTACAGCCTTTATTTGCCCATTTTTCCAGCAGTCCTCAGAACTCCTGGCTGACTCACAATATTTTGTTTTATAAAAGAAAAAAAAGGTTTTTGTTTTTACCTCTACTGCATATTTAAAAATAGAGCAGGAGCAAAACTGAGCATGTTTGTGCTTTATTCATGTATTTATTACAGTATTAATCAAACCTGGGAGCTGGCTGTGAGACAGACACATCGCTGATGACACAGAGCGCTGTGATCACTCCTCTGTAACTGTTTATTGACGCATAAATTAACTTAAAATGCAGAAATCTGCCGGCAGAATATGTTCGCTTTTATTATCCTGGTGCCTGCAGTTTAGATTATTTAGATGAAAAACACCTACCAGCTGCCGCGGTGAACTGCGAGGAGACGACCCAGCCAGAGGCTGCTGTTGAATGGGATTCCTACTGACAGCGCAGCGCTGGTATGTGGGGGTCTGAGCGGCTCCCACAGAAATAATATTGGAAGGCAGGATGGAAATCTGGATGAACTGACTGCAATGACTAAGTTTTCAGGTGGACTTTCTCACTTAAAAACATATTAAAACTACTTTATTCCCACTGATCACAGCAAATATAGCTGCAAGGCAAAGAAAGGATAGAGTAGCTCCGCCCAACGCGCGTCAGACACACTTTTGCACCGCGCAGCCAGAGCAGCAAAGCTGCTTCAGCCGCGCGTCAGAACTAACTGGTACAAGCAGCAAAAATTAAGCAGCAGACGCGATTTTGCTGCTCCTGCTGCGTCCGGTGTGAACGAAGCCTTACTTTGAGCCTTACACCGATGTCAAGCGGTTGAAGTTCCTTTGTCAGACCAATAACAGCGAGCACAGCGTTCATTTATTTCACCTTGTTTTTCACATCGGCTGTGAGAAGGGCACGCATGGAGTCACAGATTAACAGCGATGGTGATGCGTGGAAAAAAACCACCTGGTCTCCTTACATACACCTGCCTCAGCCACTCTTTCATCATCTCCTCCATGAGGAGATGAGGAATTCTGCATAAAGCACATACCTGTTCTTTTATACACAATCCATGCCCACACTTCCCCCTTTAACGTTCTCATGGCGATCTCAATAATGTCCGCACTATAGGGCGCGCCGCTCTATAGGGACAAAAAAGACGTTTATATGCGCCTTATAGTCGTGAAAATACGGTAACATGATTCAGTTTTTCAGCCCCAGATAAAATACATGAAATGTGCGACACAGAGTAACTACAGCCCAGATGTTCAACTTTTATAGTGAAGTTAATATTTTAATGAATGTATTATCTTGCTTGATACAGAGAGAGCATAGTAGGTAAAAATATAAGAGTGGGTTTAACTCTGCACAATTCTATATCTTCAAAAGTAAATACTGTATTTACCTTCTGTCTTAGTGGTTCAAATGAAACCATTTTCAAAGAAGAAAACAGTCCTAATTCCTTATTGATCAGAGCTGCTGATACTTCAAACATTGATAAACAGCATCTAATGACGGTAGTGCTTATAACATTTTATTAATGTAGCAAAATGCTGCTTTTCTCTTTAAACAATGAATTCCTCTTATCAGTACGGATGCTCACATGCAGCATAAAAAAGGGCATATGGCATAGCACCAATGACACCCGCCCAACAGTGTCCCTACCAGAGTTCAGATCAAACCTACGCCCTTGCCATTAGGCCAAGTCTAGAGTGCAGAAGACCCCTCTAAGATCGCAGAAGCCATCCAGATTCAAACAGATCTTTAATATGACATAAACATCTTTAACAAAGCAACATGCCGCTTAATTTCCTGTTGTTTCCCCACCCTCAAGTTATTCTTCATACAACACTGAATACCTAAGAACAATGACTTCCTACTTACCTAATATGGTAGATATTATATGTCAAATCCACCACTGCTGCCCCTAATTAGAATATTTTACACTTGCAGAAAGATTTTGTGTGTGATCAATAAATAACGTTTTTGTTTGTTCTTTTCTTTGTGAGAAGATTGCTTGTCACAGATGATAAAACTGATGCTTTTGATAAACATAATCAAATATTCAACTAAACTTCTGCGGGAATAATGCAAACTCCCAACAGTGCTTTGATTTTTTTTTTACTTGTACTTCCCTTATTCTCTTTGCTATACAGCTAAAATTATTGACAACTATTCCTACTGTGATTAAAGGCAAGAACAAGTAGGCTGTATAGAATAAACTGCATCTAGAATTTAAGCAGCTTTAAGCTAATAAATCCTTCACAAATGTTAGTTTAAACACAATTAGTCTCTTATTAGTACAATAAAACACAGTTTTTATGTCAATTGTTTAAAGAGCATTACTGTCAGTACTTAAAAAAAAAAAAAACATTGAAATGAAAGCTCCAGTCTTTATCAAGCATTGCTAGCTTCTGATCTGCTGTTTGATTTTTTTTTTTTTTTTTTTTTTGTGCTCATATAAAATATTTATTTCATTTAGGGCACATTTGCCTCTTGAACTAGCGGTGTGATTTGCACAGTTTGATTTGACACAGTATCCTCGCCAACATATGCGACTGTTTGGAGCATTTGTGAATAATTTATCCCTTGCTTTGTCTGACAGTCAACACCTATGAAGTGTGTGTCTTCACGGGTGACACGATGGGAGCTGGGACAGATGCCAACGTTTATATTAATATTTATGGGGAAAACGGAGACACCGGTGAGCGCCTCCTGAGTAATTCTGACAACATCAACAAATTTGAGCGAGGGCAGGTAAGATGTGTTCAAAGACTCCTGACCAACTGCTTTCTTAACTTTAAAGGACATGTACTCTCAAGTTTTCTTTTTAATTTGTGTTGGAGATTGTGAAAAACAACTTTATATTCTTTTTTCAATGGCCAAAATTGATATATGTTTTAAAAAAGTGAGAGAGAAAAGTTAACAAAAGGCAGCTGAGGACAAAGAAAAGAGGTTCAAAGGGATAATGCTACATTTGGAGCTTTGATCGAGAGGCAGCAACACTTAATGCAATTCCAAACAGGAAAAATCAACACTACAAATTTGCAGCAAAGGTAGAAACTGGATAAAGTCTTTTATTTTGTTATTTATCCAGTCAGCAGGAGAAAGCCAGGACTGAATGGTGTCCCAGAGCAGATGCTATTATAAAAGATACAATTGTAGCCTACTTGACCAAACTAAACAAACTGAAATGTATGATGTATGTACTATGCATATTGAAAAACCTACCATATAATTATCTTCCATATATATATATATATATATATATATATATATATATATATATATATATATATATATATATATATATATATATATATATATATATATTTATATATTTATATATATATACATATATATTTATGACATGGCGCATTATCCTGCTGAAAGTAGCCATCAGAAGTTGGGTACATTGTGGTCATAAAGGGATGGACATGGTCAGCAACAATACTCAGGTAGGCTGTGGCGTTGCAACGATGCTCAATTGGTACCAAGGGGCCCAAAGAGTGCCAAGAAAATATTCCCCACACCATGACACAACATGAGTGATCTACTGGCATCCTTTGTAAGGTCATAGCACATGACAAGGCTCCTTAAGATACTAAAATAAATCTAGTAAGAATTTATAAAAAGGTCAACATAACTTTACTAGACCTGACCAGCTTCCAGCTTTGTTGTTTTATTTTAAACAGAAGCAACAGGTTTATGCAAACAAATCAAAGACCAGAACTCTTCAACTTTATATCAGTAAGTTGTGGTATGTTTGTAGTTTCCTTCTATCCAGATAAATATTACAATGAGATTTTAAGTCAGAACTTTTTGGGTAATTTCACCTTTTGTTTGACCCCACAAACATCACATCAAATTAATGTTAGACCAATGTTGAGCAGTGTGGAAGTTAATCTGTGGACTTCAGCAAGAGATTTGTACAGACCTAGGGCAGGTCAGAAGGAAAAACAGCTGTTAAAGCATTTGCTTGCATCTGAAAACTACATGCTTGCAGAAAACACCTGTGGTAGACTTAATGACCCAGCTGTTGTCTCTTGTCAAACTATCTGCAGTAATCAAAGCATTAAGGGTGATTTATTTTTTTCAGATTTTGTCCTAGCATTGGTGCAAAACATGTTTCTGTTGTTGAAATAAAAGTATTCATCTGTTTAAAATAAAGATGAGAGGTCACCTATGCTTACCTGTACATTATATTTAAGATTTCCTCTGTCATCGATATGCTACAACAGATCGGTTTAGCATTATTCCTATTTTATTGGAGTAATTACCTTCGCTGGTATTTACCTGTTTTCTACTTTTAGAATTTCAGATTGTTTGGCTTTGAAATGTGATCTCAGGCCTGTTTACACTTCAGGAATACTATTTAAAATGTGATACTTCATTGTTGCTCAAAATCAATCATATCCCACCCCTTGACAATTTAGGAGGTGTTGCTCACACACTTAAAATCGTTCCCATTAATCTTTATGAGGGCTGCACCAGTTTTTATCATTTCCTAGATGTTTATTGCCAAAAACAGACTGACTTCTACTGAAAAACCCAATGACTTCCTGGAAACATAAGCCTTACACTGAGGTGTCTGCAGACGGGCCAACTGTGACTGAGAGGAACTCCGAAGGAGTTCTCCGTGTCATTGAACCTGTCCTACTTTTACTCCCCACTTTATCCACCCCTGTGAATTATTCATCTCTATGTTACAGCTACTGACAAACACTATTAGTTCAGTTATATCTGACCTACAAATTAAACAGAAATAGCTTCTTGCTGGTGCAATTCTTAGTGCAAAATATTCATACATAGATCTCTGACAGGAAGTATTGCTCAGAATTGTTTTAAGAGAAAATCATGCTTGTGAGGTTAATTTTTACCAGTAAAACCGTAGAAACACAACAAAAAAGCTATCCAGAAGAAAGAAGAAAATAATCAAATGTTTGCATAAAAAGGTCAGCATTCATGATTAAATGCAAGGGTGTAAATCACATGTACATTACACAAGAGACTTTTAATTATGAAAGGTGTGCAGGTGTCACCTAGACCAAGCATTTTGGTATAAAGAAGCCTTGGGTATTTCAGCAAAACAGAGCCAAACAGTGATCTGCATCTATTTCAGCAGTTTGGGCTGTGATATGAATCATGAGGGTAACCTGCCTTGCTTACAGATCAAGCATCTCACAAGCCCTAGCAACATGTATGACAAAACAGCTGGAAATGTGATATTTAAAGCTGAAAAAGAACATGTATTTTTGCCAGCACTTAAAGTGATAATCTCAAAAATCTACAGAACCCCAACGGATAAGCAGAACATTTTTTACTTCAAAAACTGTTTTTTTTTTTTTTTCTTCACCTCCACCCATAAACCAGGAGTGACAAAATTAAAACATCCAACTGAACAGAACAATGTGTCTCTGGTAAATTTTCAGGAGGATGTTTTCATTGTAACGGCTATTGATTTGGGCTCATTGAAGAAGCTACGTATCCGTCATGATAATACTGAGCCTCACTCAGCCTGGTACCTGGATCGAGTTGAGATAGTGGACACAAAAGAAGATATAACGTAAGTTTAGCATGTGCTTCAATGCATTTTTCTCTTTTTTCAGACTGAAGATCTAGAAAAAGAAACGTTTTTTGGTGCAGCAGTAAAACTAAGATAAATGTGCCCTCTTCTTTGAGTTGTAGCTCTAATTAGTGTAGTTTGGGGGTTCTTGTAGCTATTACTTCCCTTGTAACCGTTGGCTCGCAGTGGATGAGGATGACGGACAGATAGCAAGAGAGCTGGTTCCTGTTGACGAGGCCTTCATGAAGCAGAATGAGGATGAGGAGGGGACCGGCGCAACTTTGGGCCTTGAACAGAAATGTAAAGTGTCCATGCCTTAATCAGCTGATACAAGCAGAATGTATAGGTTAGTATGATCTAATTTTAACCTCCTAAATATTCGGTTTTCAGCCATGTCTACTACCTATACTGTTAAAATAAAAACTGGGGAAAAGAAATATGCTGGAACCGATGCCAATGTGTTTGCCATCCTGTTTGGTGAAAAAGACGATACAGGTGAGGCAGACAGATGTCCTGGCGTTAACCTGGCAGCTCAATCATTGTTTTTAAAGATTAACTGGGAGGTTTAACCATTTTTTTTTTATGTAGGGATTATCAACCTTAAAGCGTGTAAAAACTATAAGAACAAGTTTGAACAGGGGATGATCAATGAGTTCACCGTGGAGGCCGTAGACTTGGGTGAACTGGAAAAGCTCCGGATTGGACATGACAACTCAGGCGAGTTTTAAAGGAATGCAAAAAAACTATATGCAAATGAAAAAATAGAAAGTTGTTGATATGAATAAAAATCACACCCGAATATGTACTGTTTTATTTTTTCCTTAAGGAGGATCATCTGGATGGTTCTTGGACTGGGTTGAGGTTGATGCGCCGTCTCAGGGACAGAGACTACGATTCCCATGTGGCCGCTGGTTGGACAGAGGAGAGGATGATGGAGCGATTGTGAGGGATCTCTATCCTGCTGACTTACAAACTGAAGTTTACACTCCATGTAAGTAAACATGTTCTCAGACGTGGATAATAAATGATGAAGTCCATAAAGGCCAATGGGAGCCACTCAGTGAAAATTCAGATTTAATACTAAAAGAAACTAATCAAACCTCCTGGGTTTTTTTCTCTCAGTTGTGCCTTACGAGATCAAGATATTCACCAGTGATGTGTTTGCTGCGGGGACAGACGCTGATGTTTTCATCGTCTTATACGGCCAAAACGGGGTGTCAACGCAACAGAAGCACCTTTGCGTCAACAAGAGAGAACGAAGGCTGTGCTTTGAAAGAGGAGCAGAGGACATGTTTATTGTGGAGGTGAGTGACCAGATTTTAAAATAAAAATCTTTCATCACATCTTGCTGCTGGTTTTTCAAACAATCAGCTGTTCATTTGCAAGCTGGAGGACATCGGTGATGTAATAGAGAAAATCAGGATTGGACATGACAACAGAGGAACCAACCCAGGATGGCATCTTGACAGGGTGGAGATCAGGCGACAGCTGCGCAAAGGGAAGGTATCTAGACTACACTACCATAGATAACTGCATGAATTAAAGGTTTATGTCTCTCAAGACCAATTCAATTGTTAGCAGATTAGTATTGTTACATTTTTTGGTCACCCTTCTCTCAGTTTCAAACTAACCTCTCATATTTGACAGTCAAACTCATGTGTCTGTGATTACTGTCAGGGTTCGGAAACCACCATATTTCCATGCGAACGCTGGCTAGCCAAGTCTGAAGATGATGGGGAGACAATAAGGGAGCTGGTCGCCTCTGACATTATCACACAGAAGCTACTAAGGGATGGGACACTAAAAACAACAGAAATTGAGGTGGAGGATGCTCTGGAGAGTAAGTTATGCTGTCATTTAGATTATGAGGTTTTTTTCTATGAACATCTTCTCTAAGCTTCATACTTTTAATGTTTTTTACAATCTTACAAGCTTTTTGTGCTTTTGTACAATTAAAAGTACAAATTGTCATCAAGAGTACTTTGCACTGCTCTAACGTGTACACAAACACTGATAGTAGCTTAGATGCAGCATGTTAAACATTATTCTGTTCTTGGAGCCTACATTTAAAACACGTTTCCCTACTTAAATACATTTCACTCTCTTATTCTGTTATCACTGACTTGGGAAAATTCATCTGTTACTAACCTTTAAATAGTCTGAGGCTATGTTGATAAATTTATGAGAATGCAATTTGAAGGTACTTTTATTTTAGGTCACGGAGCATTTACTTAAAACTGCAGATTTTCGGTCAGTGTTGCTTAGTCTGTGCCTCTCTCCTGTATTGGCTTGGTTGCCTTAAAGAAGAAAGACAGACTGAGTTGGGTTTCCTTTTCAAAGATTGGTAGCAAAGAGATGGAGTTTGTTGACAAATAGGAAAATATTTTGCACCAGCTAATTCTCAGTACAAGCATCTTCAGCTTATTTCTGGGAAATCAGAGTTCAGTCCTCAAGGGTCAGTGACCTGCACCTTTTTAGATGCATTTTGCTTTAACACACATGGATGAAATAATTAGGTCTTTTGCAGGACTGTCTAGGAGTTCAACTGAGGAGGCGATTAAACCATTTGATACAGGTGTATTGGACCAGGGAGGTTTCTAAAAGTTGTAGGATACCAACCCTTGAGGACTTGAGTTTGAAATCCCTGGCTTATTCTGATGCTTCAATGTGTCTACCAGAAACCGCAAAACTGAATTTTACGGAGCAATCAAAGCGCTGTATACTCCTTATACCAAGTAATGTTATCGGTTTCAAAATTAAAAAAAAAAAAGATCAAGAGAGCATGTTACCTCTTCAAAACTACCTTACTGAGAAGCAGAAGAGCAGATAATTGGAAATATTTTCATCAAGATCAGCATTTCAGACTGCAAAAACAATCTGAAAATGAGTAAGAATTTCTTAAAATAAGTGTATTTCCCCTTAATTTGAGTATGGAAAATAAGATGATCTGCCAATGGAATGAGCATTTTTACCCTTAAAATAAGATGATTTGACATTATGCACTTGAAATAAGAGACTGTTGTTGTTTTTTCTTAATTTAAATATAAATTGTCTTGTTCCAATTGGCATGGTGTCTCACTTACTGTACCTGCTTAATTGCAGAAAAAAACTTATTTTAATAAAAACTGACTTACTTATATTTACATTTTTTGCAGTGCAGTTATTGAAATATCATTGTTGCAGTGGAAATGTGTGAATAAGATATACAATTTTTTATACAGGTTATATTATGTTCGATATATTTAGATTTTTATATGCTAGACCCTCTTTAGGGGCATACAGGGGGTTTGATTATCAGCTTGCAGCCTTACAACATATATTAGAAACAGCTGGTGAAACATGTATCTATTTTGCAGTTAATTTTAAAAACTGCTAAATCATTTTATTCAACCAGTCCAGACAGGAGTATCTCCCAGGCAGATGCCTAAGATCATCACATGAAGCAACTTTTCTTTGTTTCTGCAGTCCTCACAAACAGGCTTTTGGCCACATGTGATTTCTGCCTGTTTGTCTTTCTCTGGGTTAAATAGACCCTGATTTCTGGTCTCTGTTGTATTTAAGTTGCTGTTTTCTGCTCCCTTTCTGGTGAATTGTCTGCTGGGGTATTCAAGTTCCTGCTTTCTTCATGTCAACATTAAAACATATCAATCAATACGTGCCTGTCAATGTCCTGCTTCTTCAGTCTTTTGCGCAAGCAAACCTTGCCATTACACTCTGGTTTGTCTCTAACGACAGTAGACTAAAGCGTCTAAAGACCCCTGTCTAACCCGCACCACCTGTGGTGCCAATAGGGTAGTCTCAGTGTTTGATGAATTTTTTTAAACATTTTCTGCCCTTTTTCAGCAGATATTTGAATCCTTTACCGTGGACTTACAAATTACTGAAATCTTCAAACAAGACAATGAAATCTGGCAAAATAAGCAGAAACAGCTCCTTCATTTTTCCATAAAATATAACATAAAATACATTTCTGATTCAGTTAGATTTTTTTGGTTTTTAAGTTTTTCTGACTTTGATCCAGTCAAAATCCCTAGCTTGTGTTCCTTCCACCTTTTTTTGTTTTGTTTTGTTCTCTTTTTCTGACTGCAGTTGTTCTTATATGTTATATAATAGACCTCACAAACCTTCAAATTTTTTGGTGGAAAACCCCTGAAACTCAACTCTTCACAGCTTGTATCTGCAAAGTTAATGACTGGCTGCAAACATAAAAGAGATTTAGAGCTGTTTCCCAGAGAAATGTGCAGACACTCTGCTGTGAAGGAATGCCTGACTAGTTTCCCCATGCTAATGTATAGACAATGTTTACTACTAGCATCATTAAAAGTAAAACATCCCAGAGGGTTAGAACAGTAGGATACATACTTACAATAGCTGAAGTTATTCTGTCATTATAGAGACTCACTGGAGTTGGTTCCTTTCCTATATTTTCTGTATGTTTTTGAACATTTCTACAACAGCCCAACATCTAGAAAAGGTTTTCACCTTCCTAATGTTTAAAAATAAATACATTTAAAAGAATCTATGCAGTAAAAAAATAAATAAATAAATAAAATGTTTGAATTCTGCCAAAGATCTGACTTTTAAACATAAAGCATGAATAAAAAAAATGGCAGAGGTCAGCCCATTCCAGAAGTAAAGGTTCTGATGTGTGTCTGGGTTCAATGTCCTGTCTAAACACACCCTTCAATACTCCATACATATGGCAACATGATGCAACTTGAACCAGTTGGGGCTGTTGTTCGAAAACCTTACATTTTGCTCTTCTGCAGTAGCACCTGCTCTGCTCAACCCAACTCAGCTCTGCTTGACTTTTTGTGTGGTATGCATTTCAGCAGAGTAGTACTATAATGTGGGTTGAATCATCCTAATTAACAAAAGTTAAATCCTAAGAACAACTCCATCATATCTTTTTAGCATGGAATTGATTTCAGTGTTTTCATTCTCTATAACGCTCAGAAAACGCTCAGCTCCTGTTGCAGGTTCTTAAAAGCGTTGACTTTTAGGTGGCAAGCAGGATTCTCTACCGATCCTGCATGAAACAGTGATCATATATTGAGCTAAAGTTAACCTCGCAGATCAGTGAAGGCTAACGAGTTTACTTAAGGTGCAACCTGCCAATGGATACAAAAAACACTGGTGGGGCGATGTGTTCATATTATAGACCCTTTAGAATAATTTAGAAACAAATAAGAGTTAAAAAAAAATATAAGCATTATGCTCCCAGTTGTTTCTGCTTGAAAATTCATCAATAAATGTCTATATATTTTATGAAATTGATTTCCATGACTGTGACTTATGTGATAATAAATATACACAAAAGTGTATTATTATGAGTAACTAAAATGAGCTTTAAAATAAGGCTTGGTTTGTTCTCCTTCACAGCTCACACATACCAAGTCTCTGTGCGGACAGGTGACATGTACGGGGCAGGAACTGATGCCAATGTTTTTCTCACCATCTACGGAGACCTGGGAGACACTGGGGAGCGCAAACTTGCCAAATCTGAAAACAACAAAAATAAGTTTGAGAGAGGAGAGGTATTTGTAACTTTTGATAGCTTATACCAGTGATGGTCACAGACATTTAACGCTGTAAATCCCCCATTCTTTAGGTGGACAAGTTTACTATTGAGGCTGTGGACTTGGGGCAAGTGTTTAAGATTCGAATTCGTCATGACAACACCATGGTGGGAGCAGACTGGTACCTGGACCAGGTTGAAGTACAGGATATGGAAACAGAGGAAGTTTATATGTTTCTGTGTGAGCGCTGGCTGTCAAAAAAGAAAGAGGACAAGCAAATTGACAGGATCTTCTATGTCAAGGTTTGTTTCATTATACATTATTTTTATAAGCAGGATAAGCTCAGCACGCAATTTCGGGTGGCGCATGTACTATCTACAACAAAGCAATCTAGATTTTCCTTCTGTGATCAACTGATTATCTTCTGATGGTTACCAAGGCAAAAATAAATTGAGGAGGGAATATCACATTCAAGATGAAAAATTAAATGTTTCCTTATATATTTTTTAGCTTTATTTGATTTAAGAAACATCAAAGAAGAGTTTGCATGAAGCAAAACGTTCTTTTTGTAGGAAATTATAACTAAAATCATATAAACAGATATTGTAAAAAATGCTTCTTAAAAAATATTTAATTTTGCTTTGAATGTTATTGTGGGTTTTTTTGTTTGTTTGTTTTGACATCAGTAGTGGTCCTAAAGATCCCTGGGTTTATTCGTCTATCTTCCAACGTACTCCTTTTTCATTAACCACAAGCTTCCATTTATTATTCTTACTTTCATTCATAGCTACACGCAAACCATTTAATATCTATGTCCTTTGGTTTTAACTCCTTTTCTCCTGTGAGTTCACTATTTGATTAATTATCAATCTAAAAAAATTATAATAATATCGAATCTATCACAGAATTTATTTCCACTCTCTTTGCTGTACATTTTCTTTTAAAGACCTTTTCTGTAGATTTTGGTTTTGACCACTGGGCCACTTTTTCCTTATAAAACATAATCCATTAGAACCTAATTTTTTAAACTAAATTATTGAACTGGTGAAACAACTAGCATTCTATATTTCTTTCATCCTAACTAATTTAAAACAAGTCTTAAAAACAACAAAAGATTAGATAAAGCTAATGTTACAAATAAAAAATAGTTTCTAAATTGAGCTATAGGGACAAATAATTTTTATATCCTTAAAATACGCATTTTTCTTTTTACATAATGTTCTTTTCATTTATTTTTTTCTCTTTGTTTGAATACAGGGGTATGAGCGTGACAGGAATATCGATCCATATTTCATGAAGATGGCCCAGTCTAGACAAGGACTCGATAAAAATGCCAACAAGAAGAAAAAGAAGAAAAAGGTGACAGTAGCCGAAGAAGGTCCAAGTAAGCGAACCTCTAAAAATAACTAACATCAACATAAAAGCAATTTTAACACCAGCAGCCACCTGTCAGTCCAATTTCACAAAAATGTCCCTGAAGCATTAGCAGGTTGTATATATATGTATATATATATATATATATATATATATATATATATATATATATATATATATATATATATACATTTAATTAAATTGGGAAATGCCGGTTCCTGATGAGTTGGTAAATAAAGCTACATAAAAGACTGCCTCTATGGATCTGTAAACATTTTAGGATTTGCAGATCCCTTTGAGAAACAAAAAAAAACTGCAGAGACGAAGAAAAAAAGGCAAAGATATGGAACAGGTGTGCAGAGCAGGTGGTAGCATTTATAAATTATTAAAAAGGGATTACTGTGCCTTCTGAAGTTCTGCTCAATTTATATTACCTTTATGGTGATTAAAACATCATGATATATAAACTGAACGTTGGTTTAATACTAGCAAGAGGCTGTCTAATTTTATGATCTCACAGGCCATATAGCCAGGGGCTTGAAAGCCTCTGGTAGGATCACCCATGGCAAACAGACTTTGGGTGATGGGTCAGACAAAGAGAAGTTTAAAATGCATTTATGCAGACTACAACATAGAGGCAGGTGACATCACCCACTACAGCACAGCCAAACCTCCCCCTGGAGCCAACTCTGGGGTTGGGGTTCATATGTAAGCTCTTTACGGGTAGGTTCCTCCTCAAAGGACTAAGCCAGGCCAAGCCCAAAGGAGTGACTCAATTCCATCGCCCAATGAACCCACCACCTGAAGGGAGAACCATGGGACTGATGCTCTGAGGAATGGGCAGAGTCAGACACCAAATCTACAGACAAACTTTATTGAATTTTTGTGCAAGTCATTGGTTTTCTGTAATAAGCACCAACTTTAAGCTTAAGGATGTCCATCACTGCACCAGGACACCCAAAGCCAGAGATCAATGATTGACTCTAGGTTGTATCTTCTGACCTTCGGCTGTATGTCTTTGACACTTGGGTGAAGATAGGGGCAGACCTGTCCACCGATCACCACCTGGTGGTGAGCTGGTTACACCGGAGGAGGAGGTAGGCAGACATGCATGGCATGCCCAAATGAGTAGTGACGGTCTGTTGGGAACATCTGATAGAGCCTTTAGTCAAGGAGTTATTCAACTCCCAACTCTGGGAGAGCCTCTCCCAGATTCCAGGTAAAGCTGGGGACATGGAGCCCAGGTAGAACATGTTTTTTGCCTCATTGCTGCCACCCATAAGTATGTGGTCTGTGGTGCAGCCCTCGGTGTTGGACACAGGCGGTAAGGGATGCTGCCAAGCTGAAGAAACTTCATTGGCTTGTAAGACTCCATAGAAAGCAAGTATACATCATGTGTCCCAGGATGCTGCTGCCTGGCTCCCTGAGGCAAATACTTGGGCCTGGGAGGAGTTTCAAGAGACCATGGAGAAAGACTGTTGGACGGCCTCTAAGAGATTACAACACCTCTGAATGAGGAAATAGTGCTTCGCGTACAGAATTTCTAGTGGGGAACTGCTGGCCTTAAATGAGGACATTGCCTGAGGATCTTCTCAACCCAACTAACATTCCTTCTATGGAAGAAGAAGGAATACAATTTCTGTGGTGGCATCGCTTTGAAGTAGAGGAGAACCGCCCTGAGTACCAGGACTCTCTGGATGTTGTTGGGATGTCATGGCTAACACACCTCTTCCATAATGAGTGAGGGACAGGGCCAATGCTCTGGACTGGCACACTGGGGTGGTGGTTCCCCACCATAAGAGGAAACAGCAAAGGAGGATGTTTCCTAAATATAGGGGGTCACACTTCTAAGCTTCAGAGGGAAAGCCTATGCCCGGATGAAGGAGTGGAGAATCTGGCTGATTGCTGAACCTGGTCTTTAGGAGGAGCACTGCGGTTTTTGTCTCAGCCATGTAGAGCTGGACCAGCTCTATACCCTCTGCAGGATGCTCAATGGTTGATGGGAGTTTACCCAACCCTTCCTCATGCATTTTGTGGAATTGGAGAAGGAATCCCTCTTATTGTCCTTTGAGGGGTGCTCCAGGAGTATGGAGTGGGGGGACCCTTTACTGGGTGCAATTTGGTGTCTGTACAAGCGAACCAGAAGTTTGGTCCGCATTGATGGTATGAAGTCAGAACTGTTGCTGATGATTGTTGGCCTCTGGCATGGATGTCTTGTGTCTTAGGACCTATTTATAACCTGCCTTTATTGACAGGATTTCTCTTCAGCCAAGGCCTGAAGGGGTCTGGTTTGAGGACCAGTGGATCTCTCTCTACTTTTTGCAGACTTGGTTCCACTAGCTCCCTCCTGCCAAGACCTGTACATGGACCTGAGCAGTTCCCTGCCAAGTGTGAAGCGGTCAGGATGAGAATCAGCTCCTCCAAGTCCTAGCCCTCAATTCTAGACTAGAAAAGGGTTGCTTGTCCCCTTTAGGTTGGAGGAGACTTCCTGCATCAAGATGAGGAGTTCAAGTATCTTGGGTCTGTTCAGGAGTCAGTGGAAAACGAAGCAGGAGATTGATAGACAGATCAGTGTGGCTGCTACCATGTTCCATATACTGATCTTTTGTGATGAAGACAGAGCTGGGTGAAAAGGCAAAGCTCTCGTTAACCGCTCCATCTATGTTACCACCCGCAACTATTGTATCATGCATCATGACGGAAAAGAATAGATCCCGGATACAAATTGCTGAATTGAGCTGTTTCCACAGGCTGGCTGGGACTCCCTTAGCGATAGAGTGAGGAGCTTTGTTATCCATGCAAGACTGCGAATACTTTCCTCAAGGGCCTAGGAGAACACAGGAGAGATCACATCAAATATTAAAGGCATTAAAAGCACCTTAGAGCATTGGCGAGATATAATCTGTTTTTTATTTTGAGTACCGGTAATACTTCTTTTTACACTTAATGACCCTTTAATAGCATCAGTGCAGGACTTGTTTCACAGTGGATAACTAACCAGCTTCAGCCAGCCTCTCAACAAGTCATTGTTTTGGGGTCTCATATCACACCAATAAACGTTCACCTCATGGACACAAAACTAGTTTTCATTAACAGTATAATGTTTGTTTATTTATTTGGTGCTCATACATGTACATATTTGAGCAGATAGATGCAGAACCTTCAGACATTTGGAAACTGCCCTCAAGGATAAACCACACCTGTACAGGTCTAAAACTCTCCTTAATATTTTGACAGATTTATTTGGATTCTTCAACAATTTAGCAGGAGGTAAAATTGTCTTTTTAAAGCCTCTATTTTTCTTGTTATTCTAGAATTTAGAAAATATAAATATTTAAATTACTTAATCCTTAACTGTCCTGCAAAAAGTTTATTCTGATCTAATGTTTAACAGTTAAAGAAATAAGAGTATATGAATTTTTAAACACAGTATGTAGCCATTTAGTTTCAACCTCTTTGGATAAACAAACTGACCTAAAAATTGCATTGAATTATTACTAATAACTGTAGCACATCATAAGAATGATAAATATAAATATATGAATTTCTTATCAGAAAAATAAAGGATTGATCATTGTTATTATTATCCCACAAAAATATGTTTTTTGGTGTAATATTACTAATTTTAAGTAACCAATGTTTAAAACAAGGATTGGAAATTCTTAATCTAATGTTTTTCCATTATGCAGTCATCCCTTATCACTTTACACTGTCCACGGGAATTGACCGGGATGCCAGCACCACAGCCAGGGTTTATGTCATCATAATCGGCCCTAAGGACGCGGAGACGGACCGTCTGTGGCTGGACCTGGCAGAAGGGAAGAAATCCTTCGCAGCTGGCAGCATGGAGCACTTTGTGTGCTATGGAGCTGACGTAGGAGAGATCAAGAGGGTGGAAGTGAGAATCTGGGACTGTGTCTGTAGCTAAATCTGTAAAGCTGACTGTCTCCTCTCTACTGCCTCCCCCCTCCTCCTCCTCAGATACACTGATGCTAAAGATTTAGGAATATCTAGCTCAGCACTAATTAACACTAGCTGCACTGTATGGTACACGGATCAAACAAAATCAAATGATTTCTGAATTCCCAGCTCTTCCTCCCCCTCCATCTCTTCTCTTCTATTTCTCTCTTGCTGCTGCTCAGCTCGGCCATAATGGTGTCACACCAGAGAGCTGCTGGTTGGTGGATGAGCTGTCGGTTGCTGTGCCAACCAAAGGTATCAAGTACATCTTTCCATGTAAGTGCTGGCTGGCCAAAGACAGGGGAGACGGTTTGACTGTCAGACTATTAAACGTGTTGGACTCCAGCACCATCAACATTATCCGCAAAGTGAGTCACTGTACCGAAAATATGATCTCTGGGAAACCATACCAAAACACAGAGATCCTCTACTGTTTGTTTTTTATTATCTCTATTCTATATGCAGGTTATTTATTCAGTCACAGTTGTCACTGGAGACACTCAGTATGCAGGGATGGATACAAAAATTTTCCTGACTGTGTTCGGGGCCAACGGGAGCACGGAGGAAATGCTGCTGCCGAAAAAAGGGGATAGGTCTGTTCAGCCATGATCCTCTAATATTACAGCTGGTTCTCTATAATTAAAGGAACCTAGAGGAAAGGGAAAGACTCTCTTTTTATTCAAACACGGCGAAATTGTTCTACAGAATAAATTTTTTTGTGTCTGCCTGATGTAAAAGCCCCCAATTGTTTGCTTCATTTAAGCTGAAGTCATCCAATTTCTTAATCAGGAAATGTCTGAGAACAAAGATCTTTTTCCTCATTAAAATCTTTATAAAAAGCTGCCAAAAAACTTTCAGAAGGAATTTCAGAGGTAGAAAAAAACTAAAGATAAGTCATGACAAAAACACAGATGTGAGAAAAGAATCATATTAAGATAAAAGACAACACCAAAGAGTTCCTTTAAAGAAACCACATTACGGACCATAAAAAATAAGTTTAATAACAACAAATCTCTACCACATTTTCTTGGCAAAAAAACTTTTTCCTTTATAAAGACCTGTTGGAACAATACACCAAGAGTTACACTGCAGAACAAAGGGGCCCTAACGTGGAGAGTGTGCATCTTTTTCTTCATGAGGCCTTCCATCTTTACATGCAAGACTGTAGGTCAACATAGCTTTATGCCAAATTTACCATTTCCACATCCACCCATACTTCTTGAGATTGTATTACTTATTTTCACAAACAACTTTTCTGAGAGTTTTTCTTAGTTTTGTTCTCCCATGCAGGTTTGAACGAGACCAAGAAGACACGTTCACGTTGGAAATAGATGACATAGCTCCTCTGAAGAAGATTAGAGTTCGGATTGACGGCACTGGGAGCCGCCCAGACTGGTTTCTTGACAGGGTAACACAGAAACCTGTTTATGTCCCTGTCTAATAATTAGTGGTGTCAAAAGTACACACATTTGTTACTTAAGTAGAAGTATAGATACTGCAGTTTAAAAACACTCTGGTAAAAGTTGAAGTATTAACTTGACCTCTTTACTTAAGTAAAAGTGAAAAAGTATGTGCTCCAAAATCTACTTAAAGTATAAAAGTATAAAGTAACCTTTAAAAAAAAAAGCCATATGCCACTATATGTATTGAAAGTTCAATTTTTTAACTATTTCTAAAATTTCTTTGAAATAGTGCCAAGGATGAGGGAGGTCTTGTCGGTCTCTATCTCCATCTCCCAATACGCTCTCTGTGTCCGACCTTTTAGACATTTCGCCGTCTTTTTCTGAATCCAACATTGTAGCATGGTTTAGACAATTCGCCTTTTTCACCTAAAAGTTGAAGGAATAGAAAGTACAGATACTTGTATGAAAATGTAATGAGTAGAAGTCAGAAGTAGGAAGAAAAATAAGTAATGGAGTAAATTATAGATACCTAAAAAGTGTACTTAAGTACAGTAACAAAGTATTTATAATTCGTTACTTGACACCTCTGCTAATAATGTGTCCCTGTTTCTGTCAATAACCATCAAATTACTGAATCAGTGCTTTAAAAAAGCAGTGATGAATTCATCATGTTGGTTTTATCTGCCAAACATTTTCTATATCATTAGTTAAATAGATTTTTTTCAATGAAGGTAATGATTTTTATCGCTTTATCAGACCTGAGCTTTGGGGTTCTAATAGGTTATTTTCAATAATAGCCGATTTCCATATTGTTCCTGTTTTTGCATATTTTAATATAAAGTGTTTACAGTAATTGCCAATGGGTCAGTTATGTCATTAAGATGACTCTTTATCTGCTCCCTTTTGTAAAATGGTTTAATGTGGGCAAATTTTGGGGGTTATGAATATGAATTGCTACAATAGGATCTAGTCCAGACTTTGACCTGGCCATTTAACAATCCTCGGCCATTTAACAATCGTCAGCCATTTAGATGATTTTCACCACTTTTCCATTATTATAATTTTTTTTTGTGGATAGCTGTTGTTACTGTAGTTCACTGCAGACCAGAAGCTGTAGAAAAGGATCTCAATAACTTAGTTTTTTAATTTATTTATTAACCCTGTTTAAAAAAAATTGTGTCTATTATGCACAGCTTTTTGGGATTTTGCTTGCCTGCTTCATGCTATCAGACAGTCCTGCTTAATTAATTCAGGAAGTTTACAGTTCAAGCAGCCGGTAAACATGTGGTTATTCACTGTTACTCTAGCAGTCCAAGTTGAGACGGGTTAGCTTTTAATGATTGACATCATTTGAAAACATCTTAACAGCTGTTTTGCAGTGCTGTCCTCTAGAACCAGCCTGTCAGGCTGTGGATCCTTTTAACAACCATTTATCCTTTTGTTCTTAATGCTCACTTTTAGATCCTTATGAGGAACCTGACCACGGAGGAGGAATATCAGTTCACCTATGAGAACTGGCTGTCCCAGACTAAAGGGCCCAGAAGGACAAAAGTGTGTGAGCTTCCGGCAGTCGTGGATGATGAGGAGATGGTGGAAAAAACTACTTATATTATCCAAGTGCAGACCAGTGATGTTGGAGGTACATCACTGGAGTTTTATGCTGAGTTCCATAGAACTCTGACCTTTATTTTAATAGATTGGATCTATCTTAATCTTAATCTCTGAGATAATTGAGCTAAGTTCCAGTTTTTCATTTGTGGATCTTTTTATTCTCCATTGCCACTGCTGCAGCCACTGTTACAACCATAATGACAAAAACAATATTCTATGCATATACACAGCAAAAGCATATTGTCCTCCAACACAAATAGTACCTGAACATCTGAACTAATGCTTTAGATATGTTAGAACTGCTAAAAAAGTCAAAAATAGCTAATTTTAACTGCTGTTGACTAAGTCGTATCCATTTTGAATAGGCAAGGCAAGGCAAGGCAACTTTATTTGTATTGCACAATTCAGTACAAAGACGATGCAAAAGTGCTTTACATGATTAAAATATAGGACAATAAAACAGAATCAAAGCAAGTAGGAAAAAAAATAAAATAAAAAATGCAGAAACAAAAAAGAACATTAAAAACAGTTGGACTAAAGAAAACAAAAAAGTTGAACTAATGATGTTTGAGTTGAACTGTTTAACTAGAACAGGCAATCCCAAACAAATGTGTTTTTAGTCTTGATTTAAAGGAACTCAGGCTTTCCACACTTTTCCAGTTTTCCAGAAGTTTGTTCCAGATAAGTGGAGAATAAGAAGGTCCATTACAGTAACAACTTTTGGGCTCATAATTCCGATTTAGGGGAGCGTTCCAGCTAAACTAACTCTAAAGTTGAAAATTTCAACTTCCATTGAGAAATGAAATGCACTATTAGACAGGTGATCGGGGGATTTTATTGAGTGAAATCTTAAATACCACATTTCTCTATGTCTGTTTTTTTTATTTTTACATTTGATGCAATATTTCAGGCGGAGGTACTGATGCCAACGTGTTTTTAATCGTGTTTGGAGAGTATGGCGACACTGGGACACTGCCTCTGAAGGAGAGCACCAATAGGAACAAGTTTGAGCGGAAGATGAAGGATGTATTCAGGTTCCCTGACATTCTCAGTCTGGGGGAGCTGTCCAAAGTTCGAGTGTGGCATGACAATAAAGGTAAGAAGAGGAGGTTTACAAGGTGTAATACGCATATTCTGATTATTGGTGACCAAACTAGCACCTGTTATGCATTTTAGACCAGTACAGTCTGTTTTTGTGTAACCATTTATAGAAACACCTTTAAATGCATCAATGTATTGAAATATAAAGAAAGGAATTTGAAAAAGAATTATAAATGCAAAAATGTTTATAAGCTTTAATGCCTCTGCTGTAAACAGGTCCAGCACCTGGGTGGCACTTGGAGTACATTGACATCAAAGACGAGGCCATGGACCAGACCTTTAGGTTCCCCTGCGACCGCTGGTTGGCTAAAAATGAAGATGACGGGCAAATTATACGGGAGCTGGCATGTGCCAACAATGACTCTATAGACCTCAGTGACAAAACCAGTAAGTATTTTTATTAAAAAAACAAAAACATACCATCTTAAACCTCTGTGAGCTGATTTCAGCCACATGAAAAATTACTGTTTCTGTTTTTCTAAAGAATATGAAATCGTCACCACCACTGCTAACACAGACGACGCCTCCACTTCAGAAAACGCCTGGATTGTGTTGGAAGGAAGGAAAGCCAGATCCAAAGAGTTTGTTCTGGAGAACAAGAAAAAAAAGTTTTTAAGGCAAGACTTAAAAACTCTGTTTTTATGTAGTGCCTTCCAAAACCAGTTTTAGCCTTTTCAGTTGAATCATACATTAGAAAATATTAGTAATTAATCAAAAACAGAAAATTCCAGTAACAATGATAAACATAGGTCAGTAATACAGACATGACATGGGAGCTGCAGAGGTCCATCGCTCAGTTGGAAAATCTGTTTCCATCATTCCACAAATCTGGACTTTTAAAGGTAAAAAAAAGAAAAGTAAACTTTTGGAAGGTAAACAAAAACCTACAGACTCTTGTTTTCAAGTTGCCACAAGCTTTCATTAAAGGGACCCATCAGGCATGTAGAAGGTACTTTGGCTAAATGATTTGCAACTCCATCTAAAGAGGAAAACTAACTCAGCACCCTGGACACACCATTCCCACTGTGGTAAAGACTGAGGATGGGAGGAACTTTATTAACTAATTGTTTATTGGGGAATCCACTGAGTGGATTAAAAGTTAGAATCAAAACAAAGTGGGCTGGACAACAAAGGTATAGAGAGATTTTCAGATATTTTGTTGTAAAATGTTTCCCTTCATAGGTATGCACTAATTCTTCTGGTCTAACACATAAAAATCCCCGAATAACGATTTCAGTGGTTATAACAACAGAGGATGAGAAAATGTTAAAGATGTAGCAATGCATTTATGAGAAACTGTTAAGCCTTGCATAATATCTAATTGCTCATACGTTTCCGCCGTTTTATCATCAAGCTTCTTTCTCTGCAGCCCAGTTTCTTTTCTCGGGAGAGATAATCCCAGTGTGCACAAAAAAAAAAACTCTGACTTATTGATCTATTTTCTTTTTTTCATAACCTCATCCTGAATAAGCCTCTGTAATAGTTCTGACTTTTTGCTAACTTTTACAGCGGTGCCACTGACACATTTGAGTTCTCTTCCAAACACTTGGGGGAAATCGCTGGCATCTGCCTGGGCCACATCACAAAGGATGGAAAGAAGGTGAAGAAAGAAGTCTTTTGGCACATCTGGGAGGTAGTGGTGACAGAAAAGGAGCTGGGAAACAAGTAAGTGGAATCCCACACAACCTACATAGTGTTATGTAAGAAAAGTCCTTTGATGACTCTCTTCTTGTTTAGGTATTTTTTTCACTGTGACGCACGAATCCCTCTGGCAGCCAAAAAAGACCATTTCCAAACTTTCGAGTGCTTTAAATCCATTGAGAGCTTCGCCAGCAAAGTTCGAAAACTGGTCCCCGTCAAGTACGAAATCATGATCATCACTGGGGACATCAAAAGGGCTGGAACGGACGCTAATGTTTACATCACAATCTATGGGGTCAACGGGGACTCGGGCAGGCGGCACCTGAGGCAAAAGTTTCGTAACCTTTTTGAGCGAGGGCAAACAGATCGGTTCGTTGTAGAGATGCTGGACCTCGGGGAGCTGCTCAGGGTTAAGGTGGAGCACGACGGCAGCAACTACAGCTGTGGGTGGTTTTTAGAGTGTGTGGAGATAACTAACACGGCTAACTCGGTCACAACCATCTTTCAGTGTGGAAAGTGGCTGGATGAGAACAAAGCTGATGGGCAAACGCATAGAGTGCTTTATCCAAAATATTAGAAGATACAAAGTATATTTAATTTGTTCCTTTTACTTTTTATTCAAATTTCTTCTGAAAAAGCTACAGTAACAAAGATTAAGGTAGCTCTTTGTGCCAAGTGTTGAGGCCTCATCTCTTCAAACTGAAGGAAAAGCCACAGATATCTGAGTAAATAAGACAATAAACATGTAACTCATACTGTATTCAAGTTGTTTTCTTTTCTTCTACGTGTCAAAGTTATGATACCGTAGAATTATACAAATAAAATATAATCAATGATGCTGTCTGGTATGATAGAAAGGAAAGATGGCAGATTTGTCTGATCCACCCAGCAATCAGCCATCTGTGTGTGTGTGTGTGTCCGCTCTGGTTTTGGCATCAAAGTGAGGAGCATTTGTACCAAAGAGAGGACATTCTTTTCTGTTAATGGTTCGGTTTGGGACTAAAAAGAATGGCTGTCATCACTGCAGTGGTCCTCACTGCATATAGCAAGATTAAACTGTGTGTTTATGTATATGTGTCTGTGTCGATAAATATCTGAACCAAACATCTTTGGAATATAAAAATAATCAATTAATCCAAATCTGATGAGAATATCTTTGGTACGGCGACCAGAGAAACCCTCCACAGTGGAAGTAGAGCGATTAAATCCAAGCTGGGATTCGATCCTAGCTGTGCCACTGCACAGCTCATGCATATTTACAAAAAAATATGCATGGAAAATAAGGTCACCTAATTCAGTACTTAAAAAAAAAAAGAAGCCTAAAATCATTTATACCCCAAGCAGAAATAGACAGAAAAATAATTTTTATACAACTAACAAGTAAAAATATCTAAAATGACTATCAACTTTTGGTTATTACAAAATAACTACACTCACCGGCCACTTTATTAGGTACACCTGTCAAACTGCTCGTTAACACTTAATTTCTAAGCAGCCAATCACATGGCGGCAACTCAGTGCATTTAGGCATGTAGACATGGTCAAGACAATCTCCTGCAGGTCAAACCGAGCATCAGTATGGGGAAGAAAGGTGATTTGAGTGACTTTGAACGTGACATGATTGTTGGTGCCAGAAGGGCTGGTCTGAGTATTTCAGAAACTGCTGATCTACTGGGATTTTCACTCACAACCATCTCTAGGGTTTACAGAGAATGGTCCGAAAAAGAAAAAACATCCAGTGAGCGGCAGTTCTGTGGGCGGAAATGCCTTGTTGATGCCAGAGGTCAGAGAACGGCCAGACTGGTTCGAGCTGATAGAAGGGCAACAGTGACTCAAATAACCACCCGTTACAACCAAGGTGGGCAGAAGAGCATCTCTGAACACACAGTACGTCGAACTTTGAGGCAGATGGGCTTCAGCAGCAGAAGACCACACCGGGTGCCACTCCTTTCAGCTAAGAACAGGAAACTGAGGCTACAATTTGCACAAGCTCATCGAAATTGGACAATAGAAGATTGGAAAAACGTTGCCTGGTCTGATGAGTCTCGATTTCTGCTGTGACATTCGGATGGTAGGGTCAGAATTTGGCGTCTACAACATGAAAGCATGGATCCATCCTGCCTTGTATCAACGGTTCAGGCTGGTGGTGGTGGTGTCATGGTGTGGGGAATATTTTCTTGGCACCCTTTGGGCCCCTTGGTACCAATTGAGCATCGTTGCAACGCCACAGCCTACCTGAGTATTGTTGCTGACCATGTCCATCGCTTTATGACCACAATGTACCCAACTTCTGATGGCTACTTTCAGCAGGATAATGCGCCATGTCATAAAGCTGGAATTATCTCAGACTGGTTTCTTGAACATGACAATGAGTTCACTGTACTCAAATGGCCTCCACAGTCACCAGATCTCAATCCAATAGAGCATCTTTGGGATGTGGTGGAACGGGAGATTCGCATTATGGATGTGCAGCCGACAAATCTGCAGCAACTGTGTGATGCCATCATGTCAATATGGACCAAACTCCCTGAGGAATGCTTCCAGCACCTTGTTGAATCTATGCCATGAAGAATTGAGGCAGTTCTGAAGGCAAAAGTGGGTCCAACCCATTACTAGCATGGGGTACCTAATAAAGTGGACGGTGAGTGTATATTAGCTTATAATTAACTTTTTAATTAGCTTTGAACTATAAATTAGCTTTCTGTTTAAATTAGCATTAATTTTTTTTTATTAGTTTTGAACTTATTAACTTTTTTAAACTTAATTTAGCACCAGCACATATAGATTGAAAATTGTATTTTACACAATCACAAGTACAACCATAAAAAATGTGTATTAATTATTTTTCATGTATTGTGTTTTAAATAATATGAAAATAATTTCTTTAATATATATATATATATATATATATATATATATATATATATATATATATATATATATATATAATCAATTGGAGAAAAACAAGAAAAAATTTAATTCCAGTGAAAACAAGGTGCTTGTTGTTGAAAGCCCTCCCATCCATCACCCTAATCTTTGGTGGCCTTCAGAAATTCTCTATATCAGTCAGTAAAATAAAAACATTACTAATGATGTAGGAAATCGGCTGTTTAGAAATTGTGCCTTATTCGCTTTTATTATTACATAACCCAAAACAAAACAAAAAAAAACAAACAAGAAGTTGACTTAGTTGTCAGCATTTTAGGCAGTTTATTTGAAAAAACACATACAAAAGATCATATACAAGACAATAAATAAAAAAGAGACAGAACAGTTTGGGTTAAGCTATGCAACTTTTTGCATCATCATTAGTAATAAATACAGTACAAAATCCACCCAGAGTGAATCTAAAGATTTTCCACAATATTCACTGATCATGTTATTCTTCATTAAGATTTAGCTATTGCTTTCATATTATTGATACATACTTCTACATTTCTATAAAATACTCAAGATCATAAAACATTGCGCGGTTACAGCAAAACAGCAGTGTGTTGTACAAAGATGGCCACTTCCCTTTTTCACTGGCAGGTTAAAAATCAACATTTTTCTCAGCAGCAAAGAAACATCTGAAATATTCAAGAAGGTACAGCATCATATTAAACACGTCTACAGAGCTACTCCCACATACACATAGGAAAACCTGAGAAGGACATGCATTAAAAAGCTTGTGCTTTGAGTTCTACTGTTCATTCCGGTTCATCAGCTTGATTTAATACTATGGCTACTGTCCAGTTCAGTCTGGAGTTACCGGGGTATGCTGTGGAGGGCACAGGGTAAGGCCAGTGAGAGCACGAAATGAAATAATAAGACCAGTCAGCTTCATTCCCATCCAATACATGTTAGAATAATTTGCAGGATTAGTAGAGTATTAATAAGAAATGCACACCGAAAAACGCAGTTAGCTTATCATACCAAGGTGTGAAACATCTATATTGTAAAACCACAGTACACCAGAAGTTTGCTCAAAAGATCAATGGCTCAAGGTAGCATGTAAGATAAGTCCCATAAATCCCACACGAAGCAGCTCCCAGCTATATGTAGTAACAGATAATCCAACTGATGTGCTTCCTAAATTATAAGCACTAAAACAACATTTTGATATGAGGGAAATCATGATGATTATCTTTATAGGATAAAAAAAAAAAAATCTATCATTGATTATTATGAGCAAAGCAAAAAGCGAGCTAAGAAAAACAGGGTTCATCCGTCTGTACCCTAATACCTGTGGAAGATGGAAGCAGGAGTGATTGAAATAATAAAATAAACGGTTTGAACATTCAACAATTAAATCAATAACTGACATAAATGGAATGTAATCTATATCAACAGCACCATGCTGGTTAGTCCTTCAATCACCTTTATCTAATTTCCCTCCTTTGAAAAAGAAAACACAGACGGCATGCACAAGCATCCCCACCAACCAATGCATAATGAGGTATTTTTTTTTTATATTTTCATGTTATTTTAAATAAATATATTGATTAAATTGCAAAGTTATGAGACAGAGACATTAAATATTCCACCACGATAGCTAGCTAGCTACAGTTAGTAATAAATAATGATTGTTAAATACTTAAGGCATCTTTAATCACAGCATTCTATGTGGACTAGCAAAAAAAAATAAAAAATAAAACCTCCATTTTTCATGTGTTTGTAATCTTTTTGGGATGGAGGTTTACATTATGTCGATAAAATGAAAAGAAAAAAAATGCAACACAAACAGTCAAGTTACCTTTCAATAGTACACAAGGAAGCATGAAAATACTTTTAACTGAAAGAGAAGACAAAAACCTCGGACGAGAAGTACCCACACCACCAAACCAAAAATATCAGGCAACGCCATTTTATAGTGCATTTACAAAACACAAGCTACATTAGAACGACAATAAATAGTTTTTATTTTGCAGCATTGCAGCTTCTTCTTAACTATGGTTAAAATGGACATGGTTTTGGCGTATTAGTACCATGTCCCGATTGGCAGGTGAGCAAATAAGACAAAAAAGAAAACAGAACGTTCAAAAGAAGAAGGAAAAAAGCAAATAAATGGAAGAGAAAGACGATTTAAATGAAAAAAATGTTAAGAACAGTTGTTTGGTATTTTTCAAATGAATGGCTTTTAACTCCCTTTCACCCTCCTTCAAGTGAAATATGCCAACATGGTTCATACATGATACAGAGAAACAGCTTCTATCACTGAACATATCACAGTTCTAGCAATAACCATACACAAGCACCATGAGGGAGAGCGGGTGGGGGGGGCGATCGTACACATTCTAGCACGTTTCACAGGCAGACTAGATCGGATATTCCCTGTAACACCACACAGTCTTTTTCTTTATAGAATTTCAAACAGCCAGAGCAACTACGATTGAAATGCAAGGAGCTGATACACGACAGAGGCGATTTACTTGTATATAGTAATCACATGTGCTTCTTTGATAGGCAATAAGGTTCTGGTATTAAGAAATAGAAATGTCACTCAAATGGCGAGACTCAGGCACTGCAACATCAGCCTCTTGTGAGTGCCATCAAGACATGAGCGGGCATGGGACGCTTTCTGGTTGGACGGTATTTTTATAAAGTCACGGTTTCAATACCACTAAAGTTTTCCCACCAGACCACACCTCTGAGGTTTGAAACCATTTTGGTCTGAAACGCCAGTGATGGTGATATTTATACATGTAGTGGGAATCATTTATGAAAGAATTAGAGATGCTCTGAGGAAATCTAGTGTTGGATAGCTTCAACAGACCAGTGAAAAATAAAAAAAATATATTTACTATTTTATAACACTCCAAACCTTAGAAAAAAATCTCATACATTAATGCTGTAGAAGGGGTCAGGAAGTTAGTTTTTTTAAGAATATGTAAAATATGTATTTCGATGAAATTAAGTCAAGGAAGCAGTGATTTTAAAAAAGCAACTGCTGAAAGCAAGCTGAGTTGAGTTCAACAAAGGATCCATATTTTAGGAAACACACATGGAGGCTGCTTCTTTTGGTAAAGCTAGCAACTCTAACCCCACTAATTGCTCATATAAGATATTAAAGCCAAAAAAAAAAATCTGTTTTGTTAAAAAAAAACACAGTGTGTGTCATACAGCCTACAGTATGACACACACTGCGTGACATCACCCCTAATCCTAATGTGAAATTAACAGACTGTTAAAAATACTTTTAAAAAAACTCAGTTCAATCATTTGTATTAGGTAGCTGTTTTAAAACTCAAACTTTACAAATAAAGGAGTCAGTTAGTCAAATAAAGTGCTGCTCAAGCGGTCAACATGACCTAATGTCAATGTTGTCAGTACAGAAATATGGATTTAGAATTTACTTTTTCAATACACTTTTTTTTTTGGTTAAATCTATCACGGCACAGATCAGAGCTTACATACATATATTCCTCTATTAGCTGCTTTGCCACATCAGTCAATGCAATCGATCTGCTTAAAAAGACACAATAAATGTCACATTTACTGATGCTTCCACAGAACCAACAGTAAAAAAAACTACTGAGCCTCACATCTTCATAATTTAGACTTTATGGAAGTCCAGTATCCGTCTCGACACACTTCAACGCAATCCTCCTATTGGGCCTGATTCAACATTTTCATATTCTTGTCTTAAATGTCTTACTTTTTCCTCCTGACGTAGGCTTTTACTAATGCTCCACATCAGATTCAATTAACGTTCTTAACTTTAGTAAATAATCCTCATAAACGTGATGCACCCCACCTGTGCATCCCGAGAAATATAAATCTGCTTAAAACCACCACATATAAGGCTACAAATTCCCACTCGTCTGTGAATGAACATGCTGGTGTTCATTCACAGAAATGGAGTCGAAGACAAAGAAGAAAAACTTTATTGGTTTTAAAGGTCTGACTGAGAGCTGAGCAGCAGAATTAAAGGACCAGTAAAAAGCCAAGCAGTGGCAAATAAATAGGAGCCATGAATACCGGGGGTTGCACTGTTACAGAAGTGAAAATGAAATTTAAAAATATAAATAATGTAAAAACAAAAATCATTTGATACGAAAACAGCCAATAAAAACTACTGCTGGAGGCAAAAGGTGCAACATATGCTGTAAATACTTAAAATGAGTTCAAGATCAACCAACACAACAACCTTTTCCTTTTAATACAGACACACCTATAGTGTCTATCTCCAGAGCACGTCTCCCTCCCCTTAATCGTATTCTATATCTCTCTCAAAAAGCATAAACATATATAAAATGTTAACAGTTAAACTCTAATTTCACGAAGTCAGACCCAAACCTTAATATTCTGCATTTAGTGTTATAACAAAGACAAGCAGCTGCCATCGATTTAAATGGATGCAAGTTTCACCATTAGAGGAGTTCTGCTGAACTTTCCATCCATTTTCTGTTCCAGACGTTATTTCGATTGTAGTTTGATCTGTGACCGTTCTATATTTTAGTGAAATGACAAAAAAAATTAAACCAGTGTCCTCTGGATACTTAGCCTGACGTAGTCCTACTCAATTCTACTGTATGGAGCAGAGCCACACCGAACTTCCCCGAACTCAAACCTTGTGGGCGGGGCTAAGTTCTGACTGGCACCCAGGCTACTGGATACTGACATATCAGCTGCAAATATTGACCGATAGAATACAATTTTAATTTATAACTGCAGAGTTGTTTAACATATAAAGATATAGCCTAATCAAATGGACAAATTTTTTCTAAAAAAAAAACACAAAAAAAAACGCAAAAAAACTAATGTAGTAAATCAGTGAAAAACTAGGTCTGGATAACAGCTGACTGATTGCACAAGACTGCTAAGCAAGTCTGGATAACTCGTAAAATCGTTCGTACCTGAGAGAAATAGGAGAGAAATTGTGACATTTTCTCCTAAATCAATCCTAGGAAGGATTTAAGAACAAGTTTGATCGTATGAACGGTTCTTGCATGAGGTGCAGTGCCCAATAAAGGGATTATTAGACTGAATATGACTGATGAGGCACATTGAGCTGATCTGATTTCACCTCAAGATTAAGCTTTTTGAAAACAAAAAGTTCGGAGCATTGTCTTCAAAACAAAATTTGTGTTTTGGGATAGTTTACTCTATTGGGGTACTTATTTTTCTCTAAAATATTATTGATCATTTCATTATAATGATTAACTAAATTAAATGGCAGAATTTTAGGGTTTAGCTAAAAAAAAAAGAGAAATTGATATATACGACACCAATAGATAAAAATTGTAATACCAATAGCTTTTTACACTGATTTTAAATTCAGTTTATTATTTGTTCAATCATAAGCTGTAAATAAGGGAGCTAAATTTCATTTTAAAAATGTAACCGTGAGCTGATCGCATCATACACCCTTACTGTTATTTATGCTATCCTTTTGTACAATCTGAATCTCTTTTAAAAAAAGGTCTGCACACCCAGACTTTAAGTTTCATCTGACATCTCCAGGATTCAAATTATGATAAAATATACAGCTGACATTGATTTAGAAAAGTGCAAATAGCTAAATTTCATATTATTTCAAGACAATACTATAGGAGTATGTGGAAGCCTCTTAGCAGCAGTTGAATTAGTTGTATTTATGTTCTTGAATGAAAAATCAATCTTGTACTGCTTTATTTTTCTTACACCAAGAAACCGTGGCATTTTTTTCCTGTCTGTTTTAATACCATGAGAATCTCATACCGGCCCATGCCTTGTGAAGAGGGAGGCTATGGAGGGGAGTTGCCATTAGACCCAGATCCACCCGCAGATCTTTGAACCCTAACCGACGTGATTAGGAGAGAAATGCCACACTGGCGTGAGCTCAGCATCTAAAGGCAAGCATGGTCTACTCCGGATGAGTAGCAGGGTGAGGGGATGGCTGTGGGGCTACTTGAGTGCATTCTTGTCCTCCTCTATGAATGATCATAATAAATGGTTCACATGCACAGACACAGTTCCTGTTTCTACTTGCTCCACAATATCAACGACACAGCCCAAGCCTGCCAAACAGCATGCAGATCCGAGGCCTCCGCTCTAGGTCGAGGCCCCGCTACGACACTACGCACATCACTGAAAGCCATGCCTGCAGTTAGTGGGATTAGCATCACCTCTGATGGCGTCTACTAACTGTAAATCCAAAACCATGTGAGACACGAAAGAGGGATTTTTGGCCTTTTTTTGTTTTTTTTTTGTTTTTTTTACTTGGCTCTTTCTCCCGTTGCTGAATACTCAGTAGAGCGATACATATAGCAATACAGCCATATTCTTCCTCTGTGTAGGATTATCTTCAACAAACATATTTCTCCAAAAGGCTTTTTTGCTTGCTACACAACACTGTTACTCTGTAAATACTTATTCAGTACTATACTCCATTACACCACAAGCGTTCAGCTACAAGGGTTCACACCAAACAACCTCATGCTAATCATTTGACGATGTTCTATACAGATGTGCTGAGTCAGGGCTTGGGCAGAGTGCAGCTTAAAGGATTTTTCACAGGCCTAGAAGGGAGAGGGCAGAGAGGGCTTGGATTCACTGGCAGAGAAAAAGCCCTGAAACACCACACTGAGCTCAGGACGTTGGCAGTCAAGAGCGTCCTCTCTCTTGGCAGGTGTATGGAGAAATGTACGTGGGTGTACACGATCTGCCAGAGTCGTGTGAAGCCTCAGCACATCCGTCCATACGCGTCTCTTCTTCTACCCCTCACATCCAGCAAAGTCCCTTGAACTGACCTTCAGTTCAGTCCAGCCACCTGTCTGTGCGTCAGCCGCCCGTCTTTCTTCTTTTGTTGTGTTGTAGGTTGAGTGTGCTTTGTTGATCCCTCTGTCACGGCTGTCTCAGAAGGCAGGCTCTTTGAGTGATGCAGAAGGGAAGAGGGGTGTTTGGCGGGACCTCCCCAGGGACTAGGGGAGACGATGGAGAAATAACAAGACCACATCTAAAGCTGCAGGGGTAAACAGGAGCCATCAACTATCAGGGTTCAGCTGAGTTTCGATGTCCACTCTGCAGATGGGGCATTTCCTGCTGGTGGCCAGCCACTGATCCACGCAGGCCTGGTGAAAAAGGTGCATGCAGGGTAATCTCCTAAAAAAGAGCAAAGACATTAAAAACGTCACATCCACCTCATATTGATCTTATAATGCATAGCATAGTGCATTAAGTTAAAAATATAGGTCAAAACTGATTATGCAGTGAGAAGAAGAACAAAAGGCGCATTTTTCCACTTGCGGTGTGGTACAGCCGGCAGTTGTGCATATTGCATTTTAATGCTGGAAGCATGGGCAGCTGCTGTAGATCGAACCAACTCAAATGAAAGAATTGTAGGATTAACTTTAAACTTAAAACAAAAACAAAAAAAAGGTTGCCGATCGGGGTTTGGTCTCTTTCAGCAGGTCAGATCTTGTTGATCTCCTCCCTTCAAAGAGCCATCCAAAAGACTGATTTTGGGAGAATTCAGGCCTAATTTGAGAAGCTATCCTGGAGTACAGCATTCTAATTGGAAAACAATGATTGGAAGGGATGAATATTAGACTAAAGACATGCTAATGTTAACCGTTTCTTGCCTTGATGTCTTAAATGTGATATTTATAAAGCAAACATTAGGCGTTTTTATCAAAAGTGTGTATAGATGCACTTTCATTTTGTCTTTAATTGGCCAGCAACAAAATTTAAATGAAGCAAATTTCACATTCCTCGTTGACAGCTGTTTTAAGGCACTTGTGTGCAACATGAGGACAACTTGAATATTGTTATCTGATAGCTGCTGTTGAAATGAGCAATGTTCTACTCCAGGTTCTCCCCTTGTATTTGTGTTTGTCTTTGCTGTGCAAGATTTCATCACTTCCTCTTTGGTCATAGCCTAAACAGATTTCTTTTTCTTATTATTCCTCTCTAGCAGTCTATTTTAGGCATAATCTAGCTCTAATAAAGTTAGCATTATAATGTCAGTGAGTACAATGTCTTTGTTTATAAAAACTATTTGCTCTATAAATGTTTTTCTGCTCCTATAATAAATAATACTTTTACAGTCAGATACAATTTATTAATTGAATCGAACCTTTAACCTTGTCTTTGTCTTTTTTTAAAACACTTCTATTGAAACCCCTTGTCTTCATCCTTTGTCATCCATTGTCTTCATCATATACTCAATTACTAATGTGAAGCTGTTAAGTTTAACATTCAGACAGGTAACAAAAATCCACTGATCTTTAATTTTTCAAGATGATCTAATACGAGCATTGTATGTGTTGTCTCAAATCTACCTTTAGAGACAACTGTTTCAAAGAAACTGGACTGCAAGAGCCTGTAATGAAGAAATGAGGTTCCTATTCTACTCTTAAATAGAACAGGGCAAATGTTTGCATGGGACTGCTGTTGTACAATTGAAACAAATCTCCACATATATTTTGGCGCATCTCCCAAACCACATTATAAAATACTCTATAACTGCTCACGATATTGTATGAAACAATAATTCTAGCTAAAGCCAATTTTATTCACACTGATTTAACAGACATGCCTTTTCTCAGCTATACACTGAAAAAACAAGTAACAATTTCTTAAAATTAGTGTATTTACCCTTGATTTGAGAAGTTAAATAAGACAATCTGCCAATGGAGTTAGTATTTTCACCCTTAAAATAAGATTATTAGATATTTTGCACATTTTTTTCCTATCTTAAATGTAAATTGTCTTATTCCATTAACAATGTGTCTCGCTTACCTGCTCAATGCAAGACCAAATGCACATCATTTAAAAAAAATGTATCTACTAATTTGCATTTGGACACTTTATATATGCCAACAAAAAAGTTGAATTTTCCATGCATTTTGGCTGAAAATATAGATAAAACTGACATCACTGTAGAGGCAATTTAAAAAATGTTCATAGATAGACTTATTGGTTAGAGTCAGGTTGGAAATAAACACCTCACTCTATCCCCTTTGAAACACTTTTATTCAGGCAAACCTGTAGTTTTATCAGCTTTTAAGAATTTGCACTCTTTTTGTCTTTCATAAAGCAAAATAACTGCCTGTCACCTTCCCACTGAACATACATCCTTAGGTTTTATGGAATACTTAAGTTGCCTGGGTGCAGCATTTTCAACACATGATGCCATGAAAGAAAAAAAAGAAAAAGAAGTCCTGTGATGGGATTGTTAATGCCTGATACTTTGATGTTGGGTGGCAGAACCAATTTGGGCTTAAAAAGTGCTCAGACCATGTGACAGCTGTATCCAGCATGGATATAAATAAGGTCTGATGAATGTAAATCACCTTTTCCCCCGCCTACACAACTTATTGCACAGTTATGATATAAAAGATATTACAATGACAGAAATGTTATAAAAATGCAAAACTGGATGGATGGATGCTGCAGAAGCAGCGTTTTCCCCTACCTTACATCCTCTCCGTCTTCCAGCATCGACAGACAAATAGTGCACTTTTCATCCGTGTCCAGCTCCTCGTCATCCAGACACATTTTCAGGTCCTGCGGTATTCTCTGCAGAGAAGAGGAGAGCACACGCAAACAGACTTTAATTTTTAAAAGGACGCAGTGTTGATGCCACAGGGGTGTCTGAGTCAGCCAGGATTGGATTTAAAAAAATAAATAAAAAGTCACCTTATCACAGCTCACTGAGGAGAAGAAAAAAAAGCACAGAATATTCTAACACTTTTCCCACAGCATTTGGGTCAGACTGAGTGTAGACGTTTCTTTAAATTCACTCCACGCTCATATCTGCAGACAGCCCAATGACTCATACACTTCGCCTTAAATTATGAATGCTGCAGCTTCGTCTCATTAAATTTCAAAAGAAATCGGGTTGACCTTTGAACTACTGTAAGAGTTGTGACCTTTTCTCTCCACCTCCTGCTTCACTCTTTGATCCTTCCGACAGGCACCATTGCCGTTCTCTGTTATTTCCTTCATCACAGCTCCCTCCTCTTTTTTTTTGGTCCCGGCGCTTTGTCGGAACCATCAAAAAAGATTGTAAAGGGCCTCCAGTCCTACCTTTTTGTACTTGTGGGGGAAAGTGAATCTCTCAATGGTTGTTTGGACGGCTCCGCGGTTCACGCTGCCCAGTCTGTCCTCCAGCTGCAAAAGCTCCTATGAAGAAACATGAAAAAAAAAGGCAATTATGTAATGAAAGCAGGCAAAGATCACTAGAAAACTGCTGTAAATTTTAAAAAAAAAGATAAAAGGCATCTGAAGCATTAAAACCATTGAAAAAAAAAAAAATCTTTTACAAACTACAGAACAGATTAATTATTGAAGAACAAGATGTATGTAGAAGAGAGCGTGAGGAAGTAGCTGCACACACCTCATAGCTCTCTCTGACGGCAGAGGCGTGTCGGGATGGATTGAGACTCTGCAGAGCAAGCAAGTGCAACTGGGGATACGGGTAATTTCTGATCTCATGGACGACCTAAAAAGTGACGGATAAAAGCAGTTGGCATCAGCTCCACAGCAGCTACCGAGTTTTGAGAAGCTCAGAAAACAAATGATTAATCTGCAAGAGGTTGATAGAGACAGATGTGATTTATTGCACAGAGACCGAGTGGGTGGGGTGGGGTTCTCACCACTTGTGTTGAGGCATTGTTTCTGGGGAAGTGGTGCATCCTGGGGGAGGTCAAGTAGTGCTGATAGTGCTGCGGCAGCGGGTGGATGTGGTACTGGTGAGGGGGCAGCCCAGCATCCACGCTGAGATCCCTGATGAAAGATCAAAATCAGCTAAAAGCTCTGTGTTTTATAGGTTCTAAGAAAAGCTATTTTCTACTGATTGATTAAATATAATAAGAGCTGTTTACAAGCTGTATTAATACGTTAAAGGACACATTTTGTAATCAATCTTCAAAGTGGAGGAGACGAGAAAAAAAATACGCATCTAATCTTCATAAATCAGGAAACCTATAATTCCTCACTTTGATATTGAAAACTTTACCTATCTGAGGCCTCCAATTATTTTCCCTGAAAGTGGAGGAAGCTATAAAAATAAATCTGCAGTTCTTACGATTGTCTTTGAAACATTTAAGGAAATGCAAAAGGCGCTGCTCACCAGTCTGTTCCCTCAGCCAGGTAGCGAGGCTGCTGCACCACAGGCTGAGGAGGGACATGGAGTGGTGGGCCAAACTCATAGCCTGGTCTCAGTCTATGCGGCTGGTGTGGAACTCTCTCTGGGGTGCGTCTACTAAAATAAACAAGCAAAAATATAAGAACATCTTAGGGAAGAAAAAAAAAACACGTGAACTCTATTTATACCAAAGGTCTCTATAGATACCTGGAGGGCGGCAGAATGTGTCGGTGCTGAGCCTCGAGGATCTGCTGCTGGAGGAGGTATTGCTGGTGTAATGCCTGAGGTAGGAATGGAGGGCCGGGGATGTCCTGGAACTGAGGAGCGGGCAGTGGGTTCAGAGGTGGGTGGAGCGGAGGACCGTGCTGGTGGCCAGGAGGGGCCAAGTGGGGGTTTATGCCTGACTGCGGCTGCCCTGGATGGGGCATTGGGAAGTCCATGGGCAGCGGAGCCTGAGGACCTAACTGGAAGTGCCGGCAAGAGGTAGCATGGCTGTGCTGCTGCTGCTGTTGCTGCTGCCGGTTAAAATGGGATCCTGAGGAGGATACGAAGAACATGTCAGGAATCGAAACTAAAACACAAGGTAGAAATAATTGTGGGTGAAATTAGTTTTTTTGCATTTGTGTGTGTGTGTGATATAGCATGTTAATGAAACCCTATGTCTTACCTAGGTGAAAAATACTTCTGGGTGGGCAGAAAAGTGATGGTTACCACAAGCACCATGAAAATGACAACCCATTTTTGGTCCTGCACAGAAAATCGCAAACTTTTCTTACTTTAACTCTACCGTAGGCTCTCGTTATGGACTCCTGGTCTTCTGATTCAAGAGAGAGGAAGAGACAGACTCTACCGGTTCCTGGTCAGGGCTTCAGTGCACTTCAGTTTGCATATATTCTGCACCTGACAACAGGTTAGCCTACTCAAAACCTGATTGTCTCGCTCTAGGAAAATTGTCATCAACTTCTGCGCTACTCACACTCTGAACTTTTGAGAAAATTTCCAAACATAATTCAGGTAATTATCAGGTATTTTTCTCAAGAAATATATTTCTAACCGACTTTGTTGACATCATATTGATGCAATCTGTTGGGACCAACCCAAACAATCCACACGTAGAAAGATAACAACAAAGAGAATATATTCCCTCCAAATATATACCCTCTGAGATTATTTTTAAATACAAAACAAATGCTCTTATTTGTAATTATTGACTACAAGCCTGAATGTGTGCTAATTAATCTTTTTTTTTTCTGTGTGCAAGAAGACAGCATGCCATTGTCTTTGACCGCTTTTTTTTATTTATATACCTGTTCTGCAACCTGTAAAAAAATTGTATAGATACAAATTTAGTTTATGCTATAATCTGGAGCAGTGCATCAAATGGTGACAAATGTTTCAGCTGCACACCGTCCCTTTTAAAACAAAATTTCTTTGTTAGGCTAGAAAAACTAGTCACTGAATTTAATAATTTTGTATAAGAGCTTGGACTGACAGAGGATAAAAACTGAACAAACTGAGGAGCAAAAAGGCACAGAAAGCTGAAATCTGAAAATCGGTCCTTTGCAAAAAAAAAAAAGCCGACAATCATAATCAAATCTTTTTTTCAAATCATACTCATGTCACTGTTTCAAAAAAAGCTATTAGAAGATTTAAAAAGCTAACAACCCTTGGCAGTTTTTAAGACCTGGAATGAGCAGAAATGCTATTTCCCACAAAACGTATAAGGAAAACACTTAATGACCTCTATACACTTGCTGCACAAGACTCCACTGATGAAGGAAATCTGTTAGAGTTAGCTGGCGGAGCATTTAAAAAGTCTAAGTATTTGTCCAATTTGTTTTGTTTTGCACATGAGACTGACAGACTTTACAATAATGAGGAATTGATTAGAAACTAAAAATTAAATGTGACTGGATTTCCTTAGTAATAACTCTATAAACTAGATAAATGGCAAAGATTAAAAAAAATCAACTGATTTCTGTACATAACTCCACCAGAATTATCCAGTCTCTTCACTAGTTTATATTAAACTGTTACATCTTATTCAAATTGTCCATTATCATACTCCAAGTGTGATAAATTCAGGTTTTGTATGCCAATAAATATGTTCTGAATATTGTCATGCTGCACTACATGCTCACATTTGACATTAATAATAAATGCATCACAATAACAGGTGGAAACGATTTTCCATTATATAATTTCTGCAGTATTCAAATATATTATAGCAAGATTTCTTAATGACACTCACCCCATATTTTTAGAAAACTTACGAAAGACCAAGGATTGGAAAAAAAATGTTAGTTTGGAAAATGACTGTCATATTTTTCAACTGTCAACTGTAACACGAGTGATTTCATCATCCAAACTTTTCTTAAAACGTACATAGGCATGTCTATTACTATTTCATTTTTTTTTCCAATGGCATTTAAGGAAAGTTTCAAGGCAGGCTTAGAAAGAAGGGCAACAGGATTTAATTACTGACAGAAGTGACTTCAGTTTTCTATTGCTATGGATACACAAATATTTTATAGGCTTCGTTCAGAAGTATTTAAGATACAAGTTTCCTGCATTTTGATTGGTTATGATCAGAAACAGGTGGGGCTCACCTAAGGCACTATTTGTGCAAGAACAGACACTATTCCTGAGCCATTACTGATTAATTTATTTTGTATATGTGGATTACTTGGGTTGTTGAAGACAGCCTTGATGTAAACATCATGTCAATAATATGATTCTATGTATTTTAACTGCTAAAAACAGTTAAATCTATAGGGATTTTCCAAACCAAAAGTGTTCATTAGCTTTTCCAATCATCCACTGTGACTATATTGTTCTTCCATTGAGGAGTTAAGAGGAAATACTTTGAATGCCTTTTTCTAGCTCTCCCACCACAGCTATTTGGCAGATGCAGGGAACAGACTGCTGTCTGGAAAACCAAGAGGGAAAAAAAACTGCAGGCTAGCTTACACTGAGGCACAAGGTTTTAATTCTCTGCCTAGAGAAGGCCAATTTTGATTCAGTTTGCAAAAATAAAGCTATAATTTAATCTGAAGTAAGCTTGTTTGGCCATAACAGAGCAAAATGTTAACAGCTTTATATACCTCCATTTTTTATATCAGAGGTAAAAAGAGAAGTTTTTGAAGAGCAATCAGAAAAACTGGTAGCCTGTTTAACAAAAATGCAGTTCAAGTGCAAAATGTAACCGTGTTCTAAATATACACATATTTTAGTTTCAGCTTGATAGTTTGTAAGTACAGCGAGGCAGACAAGAGGTTGAACTTGCTGCCGCGGGTTGAGTCTGGACTGCAAACAGCAAACTGCGTTTTCAAGCAGGCTCAGTGAAAACGATCACCATGAATGACAGCAGATAGACTCATTCAGGCCCTGTGATGGAGGAAGCGTGGAAATCGTCTATCTTTGTCATAGCAGGAGAGGGGGTGGTTGAGGAGGGGGAGTGGAGGGGATTGGGTGGCGGGGAGGGGAGGGGGGGCAGGTAGGGACAAGGCAAAGGGGGATGGGGGAGAATAAATGGAAATCAGCAAGAAGCACACTGAAGGTTAGGATAAACACTATATTCTTTATTGAAAAATATTAGTATATGTGAAATTGGTGTCGTTTTTTTTTTACTTGTTTGTTCTTAATAATAGTATAAAACCATGCAACAAAACTAAACAACATAGATTGAAGGCAAGGCCCACCATGCTCCATATAGGGTTAAAAAAAAGAACAAAAGCAGCATCCAATGAGCAGACGTGTTGGCTACAGCATATGATTTCAGTACAGCAAGGGTACATCTTTACTACAGAAAGATTACATTGGATTTCCACTAGTCAATGTAGGAAACAAAATAAACAAAAATAATTATGAATCATAAAATGTGACCATGCACTGAAAGTACTATTACCAGAACAAAAGGTAAAGAGAGACCACAACCAAACAATAAAAGACGTTATTACTAATAAGAGGATCTCTTTAGCAGTGCAGGAAAAAATAGGCATCCCTGTGAAATGGATAGCATTTTGGTTTTATGTTAGTGGGGATAAATCAGAAAGTGATGAACCACCAGTGAGAAGGTTTTCCAGCTTTATGTTTGAGAAATTTCAGACGCCCGGAAAAAAAAGGGGGGCCCTGATTATTCAGTGTGATTCGAAGCTTGAAATTTTGGAAAAGGGAACAAAAAGATTACACATAAAATGGAGACACTTATGGTAGGTTGTTGTGTGCAGGTGCAGTGTACCTTCAGGGAAAAAAATGCATGCACGTGGTTCCAATTTACATATTTGCTTTGTTGTCAATCGGAGGTTGTTTTGATCATGTACACTGCACCTTGAGTGAAGAGAAGGAGGATGAGCCAAATTCTGGTGTTCAATGATGTAAGTGCAGCACTTGAGATCATGCAAAATGTATCCACTTTACAGGAATTTACAGCATGTTGTCTAACAAGATTGGATGGGAGGTACACAATGACATTCAACTGATATCTAGAAAGGAGCTAAAAAAAAAAAAAGTTTACTCAGTGCTACAGCAATTTTGACAGAAAAAAAGACAAAACAAGGTGCTCTGTTCTAGGTGTTAGCCAGAGATTTTTAGTTTGCTTAACATGAAACAGTCTATGGCTGAATAAATCTTTGGGAAAGGGTGCTTTTAATACCAATGCCGTCTTCTGATGGAAAGAGGAAATGAAGAAGGGATTCACAATACAGCTAAATGCAGAGAACAGGCAGAGGCCACGCCACACCACACAGCAGCAGATGATCATTAGCTACACAATGGGGGGGACGACAAAGATCTGATAAATGCAGAATGTAGAGCCAGCCTCCATACTATGAAACAGGGAAATAAGAACAGAAATAAAAGCACAATGAAAATCACTGATGCCACTGTTGTAAAATTAATGTTACACTGTAGCTTTTATAAATGCATCACCTAACTATGAGCGCAGATCGGGGTTATATTTGCAGCTCTGCAGCTTCAGACAAGCAGCTGCTGGATTTGCCAATTAGCAAAATGAAAAACTCAGTGATCGGATAGATAAGATAGATCTATGCTCTCTCACACGCATTGATTTGCACGCTAACTAATTAACACTGGTAACAATTAGCCGGAAAATCTGTTCACGCCGACAGGAGCGAATGATCTTCAAATGACATCATCCAGCCTCAGATAAGCTGACTGGCTGGAGAGGCTACGTCTATTTTGCGGTATTTTAACGCTGCGAATACACACGGCAAAATTTACCGTGATAGCCATACAGATTTGATAAAAGCGAATGAAAAAAAAGATAAGGGAATTGCAAAGCAGCTGGTTTTAACACTTGGCCGCGCTCTTGAAGCGTGTGGAAGCCTTTGTGGCAAACGTTTCCGTTCCAGGATATAGTCTGGCCCAACGAGACTGTTAGCTTATCGGTAGCAAGGGCATTGCTTTTAAACGTTTCCTTTTTCAACCCAATAAATAATCTCGGAAAAATTAACATTAAAATGTAAGCTTCGCTTACCTTCAACGACTTAAAATAATTAAAGTAGAAACAAGGTTTTGCGGTCGCTGTCAAGGAAATCTGGAGCGTTTTAAGCTAACGAGAGCTAACGCGACGGCTAGCCAACAGCTGCAGTGAATATTAAGATAAACAGGGCACATGTTTTGAATCGATGTGAATACTAATACCGTACCTCTGTTTCTTACTGAGCCGAACACGGGAAGAACCAGATATCCTACATGCACTAACACCATCCTGGGATCCGTATCTTATGGTTCCGCCGGGTCTTTTAGGGAGATGGAGCGGTAGTAGCAGCCCATGCGGATCTACATTCAGGCGGCTGGTTGTTGCTGGCTGACTGGCTCGCTGGCAAATACTAGAGGCGAACCAGCGACTGTCTGACTGGGCTGCCTGACGCTGACAAAAGCAGACATGTCATTTTTAGTCCAGAGCAGGAGAGGGCGCTGTTGCAACATTACATGCTGTAGCAGGAGGTATCTCAAGGTGAACCCGTCCGAACCGAACTGATCTTTACGGAAGAGGATTAGGGCCACACTGAAAAAATAAGTGTTAACTGATTTTTTAATTTTTTTTCAGTATAATATGAGAAAAAAGTCAGGATTCTGACATTAATCCTAGAATTCTGAATTTTATGTCAGAATTCTGACTTTTTCCTCAAAAGGCTTATTTTTTTCTCAAAAGGCTTACTTTTTTTTCTCAAAATTCTGACTTTTTTCTCAAAATTCTGACTTTTTTTCTCAAAATTCTGACAGCTAACAAACATGGTAGCATCAAGCCGTAGTCATCTCTGTTTTAGAGACTAAACTAGCTCTCTCGTTTTAATCACATTCGGCTAGGAAATAGCATCAGCGGAGACCCCTCTGGCACGTAAAAAGTCACCTAATTCCGTCATTTTCCACCAATGTTTTACTGGCCCTCTCAAGCAAGTTACATCTTTGTCAGTGAAGCTGAGTGCTCCCACATCTCTTCCTTCATGGTGCCCATCTAAATTAAGAGATTATAAAGTCAGAATTCTAAGA